AGTTGTTCCAAACTTCTTCCATTTAAGAATGATGGAGGCCACTGTGCTCTTGGGGACCTTGAATGCTGCAGAAATTTTTTGGTACCCTTCCCCAAATCTGTGACTTGACACAATCCTGTCTCGGAGCTCTATGGACAATTCCTTTGACCTGATAGCTTGGTTTTTGCTCTGACATACACTGTCAACTGTGGGACCTTATATAGACAGGTGTGTGCCTTTCCAAATCATGTCCAATCAATTGAATTTACCACAGGTGGACTCCAATCAAGTTGCAGAAACATCTCAACGATGATCAATGGAAACAGGATGCACCTGAGCTCAATTTCGAGTCTGATAGCAAAGGGTCTGAACACTTATGTAAATAAGGCATTTCTGTTTTTTATTTGTAATATATTTGCAAATGGGGTATTATGGGGTATTGTGTGTAGATTGATGAGGAAAAACATTTATTTCATCAATTTTAGAATAAGGCTGTAACGTAACAAAATGTGGAAAAAGTCAAGGGGTCTCAATACTTTCTGAATGCACTGAACTTCTGGGAAAATTGGAACACACTAAACAAACAATAACATGAAGAGCTATCTATCCAAAATGGAGATGTATGGGTAAACCACTTCTCCAATCTTTTTGGCCGTATTACAAAGAACAAACAGCAAAAAAATATACATAATCAAATGCAAATCTTAGAATCAACTATTAAAGACTACCAGAACCCACTGGATTCTCCAATTACATTGAATGAACTACAGGACAAAATACAAACCCTCCAACCCAAAAAGGCCTGTGGTGTTGATGGTATCCTCAATGAAATTATAAAATATACAGACCACAAATTCCAATTGGCTATACTTAAACTCTTTAACATCATCCTTAGCTCTGGCATCTTCCCTAATATTTGGAAACAAGGACTGATCACCCCAATCCACAAAAGTGGAGACAAATTTGACCCCAATAACTACCGTGGGATATGCGTCAACAGCAATCTTGGGAAAATCCTCTGCATTCTCATTAACATCAGACTAGTTCATTTCCTCAGTGAAAACAATATACTGAGCAAATGTCAAATTGGCTTTTTACCAAATTACCATACGACAGACCACATATTCACCCTGCACAGCCTAATTGACAAACAAACAAACAAACCAAAACAAAGGCAAAGTCTTCTCATTCTTTGTTGATTTTCAAAAAAAGCTTTTGACTCAATTTGGCATGAGGGTCTGCTATACAAATTGATGGAAAGATGTGTTGGGGGAAAAACATAGGACATGATAAAATCCATGTACACAAACAACAAGTGTGCACTTAAAATTGGCAAAAAAAACACATACATTTCTTTCCACAGGGCAGTGGGGTGAGACAGGGATTCAGTTTAAGCCCCACCCTCTTCAACAAATATATTAACGAATTGGCGAGGGCACTAGAACAGTCTGCAGCAACCGGCCTCACCCTACTAGAATCTGAAGTCAAATGTCTACTGTTTGCTGATGATCTGGTGCTTCTGTCACCAATCAAGGAGGGCCTACAGCAGCACCTAGATCTCCTGAACAGATTCTGTCCGACCTGAGCCTTGACAGTAAATCTCAGTAAGACAAAAATAATTGTGTTCCAAAAAAGGTCCAGTTGCCAGGACCACAAATACAAAATCCATCTAGACACCGTTGCCCTAGAGCACACAAAAAACTATACATACCTCGGCCTAAACATCAGTGCCACAGGTAACTTCCGACAAAGCTGTGAACGATCTGAGACAAGGCAAGAAGGGCCTTCTATGCCATCAAAAGGAACATACAATTCAACATACCAATTAGGATCTGGCTAAAAATACTTGAATCAGTTATAGAACCCATTGCCCTTTATGGTTGTGAGGTCTGGGGTCCGCTCACCAACCAAGAATTCACAAAATGGGACAAACACCAAATTGAGACTGCATGCAGAATTCTGCAAAAATATCCTCAGCGTATAACGATAAACACCAAATAATGCATGCAGAGCAGAATTAGGCCGATACCCGCTAATTATCCAAATTCAGAAAAGAGACGTTAAATTCTATAACCACTTAAAAGGAAGCGATTCCCAAACCTTCCATAACAAAGCCATCACCTACAGAGAGATGAACTTGGAGAATAGTCCCCTAAGCAAGCTGGTCCTGGGGCTCTGTTCACAAACACAAACAGACCCCACAGAGCCCCAGGACAACAACACAATTAGACCCAACCAAATCATGAGAAAACAAAAAGAGAATTACTTGACACAAAAAAACAGAGCAAACTAGAATGCTATTTGGCCCTAAACAGAGAGTACACAGTGGCAGAATACCTGACCAAGGTGACTGACCCAAACTTATGGAAAGCTTTGACTATGTACAGACTCAATGAGCATACCCTTGCTATTGAGAAAGGCCACCATAGGCAGACCTGGCTCTCAAGAGAAGACAGGCTATGTGCACACTGCCCACAAAATGAGGTGGAAACTGAGCTACACTTCCTAACATCCTGCCAAATGTATGACCATATTAGAGACACATATTTCCCTCAGATTACACAGATCCACAAATAATTCAAAAACAAACCCAATTTTGATAAACTTCCTTGTCTACTGGGTGAAATACCAGTGTGCCATCACAGCAGCAAGATTTGTGACCTGTTGCCACAAGAAAAGGGCAACCAGTGAAGAACAAACACCATTGTAAACAACCCATATTTATGTTTATTTATTTTCCCATTTGTACTTTAACTATTTGCACATTCTTACAACACTGTATATATACATAATATGACATTTGAAATGTCTTTATTATAACTTCTGAGTGTAATGTTTACTGTTAATTTATATTGTTTATTTCACTTTTGTTTACTATCTACTTCACTTGCTTTGGCAATGTTAACATATGTTTCCCATGCCAGTAAAGCCCTTAAATTGAATTGAAATTGAATTGAGAGAGAGAGGTACAGGGTGGACAAAGAGATAGAGGTACAGGGGTGGTGGCAGGCAGGCAGGCAGGCAGGTAGTTAGGTAGGTAGGCAGGCAGGCAGGCAGGCAGGCAGGTAGTTAGGCAGGCAGGCAGGCAGGCACACAGGCAAGAAGGCAGGAGGGCAGGCAGACTCTGGAGGAGAGAAAGACCCTAGTGTTCTTCTACTTTGTGATCAGGATCACTTAGCTGCTCCGGGGTTCGGCCCTGCTGCGCTCCAGGGCGATTGTGAGGGAACTAACCTACATCACTCCCTCTCCACACGCTCCAGTTTGCTGCTGTAACTGTTGACTGACTCCAGCAGTTTGACCTGATTTCACAGTTCTCTCTAGGCAAGAACTACCTGGAATAAGTCCACTCACAGGTGATTTTGACATCATAAAAAAAAAAAATAACATGCTCACATGCCCCCATCACATCCATTGATTTTTAGCTAGCAGTGGCTAAAGTTAACTGAAGTTTGTAATGGCTGTTTAAAGAAAACTGAACCATGGATTACAGTTTCTCCTGGCCCATAGACTATATTCAGGGTGAGGAACCATCTAACATCAAGTTGTAAATTAGTGAACTTCTCCTTTAACATGCATGGACCCATGCATGCACACACTGGCTTAAAACCTTGCTATGAATCATTCCTTAAAGAGGCTTCAATTAGCTGCCAGCTGGAAGACTAGACAAGACTTCTCTATCTCTGAAGTAAAAGAAAAGAAAGAAACAAAAGGAGAGGGGGATGGAGACGGAGAGGCAGATAGAGAGAGATGGAGTCTGGAAAGACATCCGTCGATAATGACAGATTACTGTAATTCTGGCTGTCAGGCCCATCGACCGGTGCAACTCACGCCAATCAATAGCTCAGTCCAGTATCGAACCCCGCTCTGCTCCGCGCACACACATACACATGAGATTGGACATGGCAGATGAGAATCGGTTTTCACCCCCCTATTTTTTGCTTTTTTTTCAAGCAGTATTATATATTTTTTTGAAAACAGGGGTTAGAGGGTAGATAGAGTATTTAGAGGGTAGATAGAGTATTTAGAGGGTAGATAGAGTATTTAGAGGGTAGATAGAGTATTTAGAGGTGGGGATTTGGAGCATGTGAGCTTGAGTGGTCACCAGAGTCTCACTTTCCAGGAAGATATAAAATAATAATGACTGAAATGGAGAGAAAAGTATAGGTGAAATTACAAATCATTAGCTAGAAGCAAACTGGACTGGAGGGAAAAGTGGTGCTTTTGTACAGATTTGATTTGATTTCTACATAGCATAGAAACTGATGGATGGTTTTCTACTGACTTCAGGCATAAAATACTGAAGCATTAACATTCATATTAACATTATGTTCACTTTGTAACATCGTTACAAACTGCATTATTATCATTGGACAATACTGAAACAATTTGGCAAAAATAAAGATACTTAATGATTTTACTATTCAAAATGATTAACATTAGTGCTAGACAGAGTTCAAAAGCCATGCTATTGGCGATGGTGTGAGTCACCCAAGTGAGGCGAGAGATTAATCGCTACTGAAGCAAATCGCTCTGAATCACTATTAGGAGACGATTGGCAATGATCACCGTGAGACTCCTGCGGTCTGCTGGAGAAAAATGCTGTCACCACTTTGCACCGAGCAGAATGTGATGCTCTACATGTTGAGAAAATGAGTGCGGGAGGGGATGAGACATCGATAATTATCGAGCGAGAGGGACGCTGTTCTACCATTACGCCTTGTGAGCCTGCAGTGCAGTGAGGAGTTGGTCTGTGTGGCAATCTATCGCACTCCTCAAAACAGTCAGGAGGACAGGAGCAAGTCAACACGACAGGAGCTAAAGCCTGATTCATCCTACATGCCTTCGCCTGTCTCCACAGCAAGGTGATACACACACTCACTCTTTCATACACTTCTACTGATCTCCCTTGCTAGTGCAAAATAACAAGCCCAACAACACGTTAACGTGACAGCCATGGCCATAAGTGAGGAGAGGCATAACAGATCACAGTTACCAAGTGTGTTGTGGTTTTATCTTCCCCCCTACAGGCAGGGTGCTGGGCAGGGCTGTGGTTTATAGAGTACTGCCAGGCCATGGCAGGGAGATGGAGAAGGATACAAGTTCTGGTAGAGGGGGATGAGGGATTTAAGAGCCCTGCTGGCATTGAGGGCCGTGGCCCGGACCATGGTGGGAAGGATCTTCTCATCCACTATGGCTCCATCGAACAGGGGCCCGAAAAACGGGACCTAGAAGGAGAGAGGAGGAGGATAGAGAGAGAAAACAACTCTGTAAGTTACTATTGATTAAATAAAGCCAGAACAATAAGAAACTTTATACAAGTATAACAGTGACAAGTGGTTCTCGTCTATCAGATCCCAGTGAACGCAATGTTCAATGCAATGTTTGTTAATTTTATAAAATAACAAAAACACTATCGTTTCAGTGCCATAATTGACTTTCATAAAAGCCAGACCTCTTTTCTGTCCTTATCTGACCATCTTTCAACATTTCCCCAGACTCTGAAGGGACAGACCCATCTTCTAGCCATATCCATACCACAATTGAATTCTAAGAATCCTGTTGATCCGATTAGTCCGGACATAACTGAGCAGGAAGCAGGAGTGCCGCGAGACATTTGTTTTGATTTTGTTTATATATAAAAATATAACACTGCAGCAGGTATAGCTGTGATATTGTCAATTGTAATTTTTCAAAAAACACAGAAATTTGTATTTTTAGCTTTTAATAAACTCACAAAAATATCCCGAGGGGTTGGAAGCCAGGGTCAGCCACGGTGCGGTGCCCCTGGTGCAGTTTGTGCCTTGCTCAAGGGCACAACGGCAGGAAATGGAATCTAGGATACCTTAATGTCAACGTATGATTAAAACCGATGGGTGAACCCACCTCTGGCTTCTTGAGGATCTGGATGCTGTACATGTGGTTCTTCATGGGGTAGATGATGATGAGGACGTCTCCGAACTCCGTAGGGATGATGCCTCTCCTGTAGTCCCGCGAGTGCTCCGACCACACGATGTGCACCTCGTCATTCCCAAGATGCCTTAGCTAGAGGGACAGAGGTGCGGGAGGAGAGGAGGTGGGAGGGGAGAAGAGGAAAGAGCAAGAGAGCAAGAGGGTGAGTGTACCTGTCCAGTAGTAAATGTTGACTTTTTTTATTGTGTTTAAAAATTCTAGTTAATGTAATTAATTCACATGGCAGAGGAAGATTGAACATAGTCACACATTAAAGTAACTGCCCAGTGTTTCCAGATTTCTATGAAATATGACCTATAATTACTAACAATATGAGTGTAATAATGTAAAACATTTGGAACGGAAAACGAAGTATGTTAAAAAGCAGCTTTTCTGTGTTGGAATGGTGTTGGCATACGCAAACAACAGAATTGTGTGGGCGTGGTCATTGAAAGTATGCAAGTAGACCAGTGATTGGCCAGCTCATCACCCCCTACACTTCAGGGAGATGCATGTTCTATGAGGAAATAGCAAACATTTCTGAAACGGTCTATTTGAGATACAAGTTTTTGACTTGTTTTTTCTCCAATTTATGCTTTGGCCACAAATACACTACATGACCAAAAGTATGTGGACAGCTGCTCGTCGAACACATTCCAAAATCATGGGCATTAATATGGAGTTGGTCCCCCCTTTGCTGCTATAACAGCCTCCACTCTTCTGGGAAGGCTTTCCACTATGTGTTGGAACATTGCTGCGGGGACTTGCTTCCATTCAGCCACAAGAGCATTAGTGAGGTCGGGCACTGATGTTGAGCGATTAGGCCTGGCTCGCAGTCGGCATTCCAATTCATCCCAAAGGTGTTCGATGGGGTTGAGGTCAGGGCTCTGTGCAGGCCAGTCAAGTTCTTCCACACCGATCTCGACAAACCATTTCTGTATGGACCTCGCTTTGTGCATGGGGCCACTTCGTGGCTGAGCAGTTATTGCTCCTAGACGTTTCCACTTCAAAATAACAGCACTTACAGTTGACCGGGGCAGCTCTAGCAGGTCAGAAATTTGACGAACTGACTTCTTGGAAAGGTGGCATCCTATGACAGTGCCACGTTGAAAGTCACTGAGCTCTTCAGTAAGGCCATTCTACTGCCAATGTTTGTCTATGGAGATTGCATGGCTGTGTGCTCGATTTTATACACCTGTCAACAATGGGTGTGGCTGAAATAGCTGAATCCACTCATTTGAAGGGGTGTCCACATACTTTTGTATGTATAGTGTACGATTATAGGACGAGTCAACAACTTTATTTGGATATGAGTAACAGAATATAAACTTTTAAAAGTGAGATTTTCACTGGACAGTTACTTTAAGTGAGAGCCTTGAGATTGGTGTCCCTGATGCAAATTCACTGTCAAAACTCAGGCTGTCTTGGGCGGATTCTCATTCTCTCAGGGCCTGTATTTTTTTTTTTTAAGTATCCGAGAAGGAGTGCTGATCTAGGATCAGTTCCTCCCGTCCATATAATCTTTGTCATTGTGATCTAAAAAGCAAAACTGATCCTATATCAGCACTACTTCTCTGAGACTCAATGTGAATACACTGTCCAGGGCTCATCCATTCATCCAGGGCTATCTAACACTGTCACAGTGTCCTGTGTGGGGCATGTAGCGCGAGTTGGCTGTCTAGGACTCCTCCATCCAGGGCCATTCAGCACAGTGTCATTAACCTTGAAGAGTGACAGGCGAGAGGAGCCGCCACCGCCACACGCTGCCTCAGACCACAGCACCCATCAATCTATCTTCCACAGCTCACTCCATCTTCTCAAACTCACTCCATCTTTCTATTGTTCTCTCCATCTTCACTCAATCACTCCGAGGGCCACAGAGAGCCAGGCTGTCACAGGCAGTCCCACAGAGGCCACATCACACTGTCCTGGCCTGGGTTGTGTTCATTCGGTACAAAACTGAAAAAAACGTACTGAAACAGGAGGGACTACCTGGACTGGATTTACTTTTCCTGTTGTGTGCCCTAATGAACATGACCCTTGCCTGTATAGCACCTCGTTCTCATCCTCCGCTCTCAACCAATAGGAAACTCTCATTCTTTCCTCGCAGCCAATCACAAATTCGAATCCTCATCCATTGCCGAGCAGATAGCTGCTAGCTGCTGCTTGAGCCATCTTTCCTTTAACATTTCACATCAGCAGCCCTCATTCATAAATCCTTGGCCCATAAGACCCAGAGGGTGTGGACGTATTCACAGCCTTCAACCTTCAGTGCGCCTGTCACTGTCCGTTACTAGGTGGGCTGAGGGGAGATGGGGAAAACAACAAACAAATAAATATGCAGGGTGTGTATGTGTGTGTGAGAGTGACTCTGTGTGTGCACGTGCTTCCTTGTGTGTGTATGTGTGTGTGTGTGTGTGTGTGTGTGAGTGTGTGTCCGTGTGCCTGCTGGCTGCTCTCGCTGGCTGAGCTGACACGCTTTAGTGTCTGGTTAACATGGTTTAGTGTCTATCTGCAGATCGCTCTGTTGGATAGAGCTCCTCCAGCCTCTCCAAATCCAATCAGTTGCTGAGGAGTCATGGTAGAACTTTAACCAGGGGGACAGCCACAGCCAGATCTAATTTGGCTACATTATGGCCATGTGCAGCGCGGACCGCTGAGTGAAGGGGGAGCGGGAGCAACGCTCCAGGCCTCTCACTACGACAGACAGGGTGATGCGTCCCAAATGGCACCCTATTCCCTATATAGTGCACTACTGAGCTCTGGTCAAAGGTAGTGCACTATATAGGGAATAGGGTGCGATTTGGGGAGGCCACCAACACCCGCACGCACAAACATGGCTTTGCTGCCATACATACACAACTAAATTGTAGCAATGAATTATGAGCGGTGAGCGCAGATGCAGAACATGAAGACAGAAAGGCATTTCGGGGGTCTGGAGGGATGAATGAGAGATTTCAGACATGAGATGGGAGGCGGTTATGTGAAATACAGTGGTTAGAATTATTATTTATCTTACAGTCATATCTTAGAGGTCATCTGATGGATTGGATGCATGTTAGTTCACATTATCAGCAGTGTGAGTGAGTGAGTAACCACAAGCAAGCTATCAGTGGCGTTTCAGCTCTTGTTATTAAACCCCTCAAATCAGACTGCGATAAAATCAAATCAAACTTAATTTGTCACATGCGCCGAATACAACAGGTGTAGACCTTACCGTGAAATGCTTACTTACAAGCCCTTAACCAACAATGCAGTTCAAGAAAGAGTTAAGAAAATATTTACCAAATAAACGAAAGTAAAAAATAATAAAAATGTAACACAATAAAATAACAATACCGAGGCTATATAAAAGGCTCAATGTGTGGGGGTCCAGGTTAGTCAAGGTAAGTATTAGCCGTGTAAAAACAAATGGGGGGGGGGGGTCAATGTAAATAGTCCAGGTGGTCATTTGATTAATTGTTCAGCAGTCTTATGGCTTAGGGGTAGAAAGACACCTCCTCTCTCTAGCCCTCTCACCCAAGCGACTTACAGTTGGTGCATTCATCTTAGGATAGCTAGGTGGGACCATCGATATCCTGGGTGAGACAACCACATATCACAATCCCGTCCTCTACTACTCTAATGTTACAACGAAATGACTACTGCAGCTATCGGCCGACTAAGAAGCTGTGTGTGTATTATTGGCCATCACACAACCGGCCACCTCAATATTCCCCTCCTGTCTGTCTGCATTCATTAATGAGTATGTTATTAGTATTAGCAGCACCTTAGCATCTGGTCATGGCTGTGTATGTGTGTATCGCCCCTGTTGAAGATGTATGCCAGGGGAAGTGAGGGGACAGCTCTAATGATACTTCATTGTTCATCCTGCATCACCGTGGCGATCTATGGCTACAGGCCCCCTGTATCACGGGCCACCCCGGCCTCACAGCCAAACTCATTACAGCTAATGCCCTCTGTTCTCTTATTACATTTCTGCCTGCTTAAAAATAATACCAAGACAGATGGACATTTGTAGAAGAGGAGAAAAACAAGGGAGAGAGGTGATGTCTATTTTAGGTTAAGAGTGACAGAGAGAGGTAGGGGGAAAGAGAGAGAGATGCCTGCATGTTCCAAAGGGAAAGAGAGAGAGAGATGCTAACATGTTCCAAAGGGAAAGAGAGAGGAGGCAGAATGAGGTGAGATAAATAAAGAAGAGATAGAAGGAGAAAGGGCTTCATGAGAGAGAGGGATAAAGGGAACCATTCAAGGTGAGAATATATTTTCTCCCACATTGCCCCTGTAGATGGAGGGAGATGGAAGCTCCTCTCGTCTTCTGTAGCAACCCATTGCCCCTGTAGATGGAGGGAGATGGAAGCTCCTCTCGTCTTCTGTAGCAACCCATTGTCCCTGTAGCTGGGGGGAGATGGAAGCTTCTCTCGTCTTCTGTAGCAACCCATTGCCCCTGTAGCTGGAGGGAGATGGAAGCTCCTCTCGTCTTCTGTAGCAACCCATTGCCCCTGTAGCTGGAGGGAGATGGAAGCTCCTCTCGTCTTCTGTAGCAACCCATTGGCCCTGTAGCTGGAGGGAGATGGAAGCTCCTCTCATCTTCTGTAGCAACCCATTGCCCCTGTAGCTGGAGGGAGATGGAAGCTCCTCTCGTCTACATTAGCAAAACATGGCATGTTTCTCTGTGGGGCTCAAGTCCACACAAAAACAGCTCTCTGCAGGTAGAAATGTGACCCACCTGAGAGAGCTGGACATAATGGTTTAGTAGTGGACTGAACAGAAAGGTCAGAGTGTATTTTTGTTCCGCATTGTATGAGTTGAGGGGTACAGAGAATCACTACAGAGTGGTGTGTGTGTGTGTGAGAGAGAGCAGACATTGGGTCTCTCTCTCCAGGGGAGCAGTGGTCATCTAAAAAGGCAACACAGAATAACCTACCCCCTGCTGACTGGATGAAAGGGAGTGAGAGGGACACAGACATACATGGTGTGTGCATCTCAATAAAAGAGCATAACAGGGTTGCAGTCAGACATTACTTTTTTCACACAGACACCAACTGCCGTTCCTAGAACACCACAACATACCTTTTTGGTGAGTGAGTCGTCTGAGTCGGGGGGCATCCGTGTGGAGACGTGGTACATGACCTCGACGGTGGAGGTGGCGAAGTAAGGCGTGGTCAGACCAGTGCTCTTGTTCCTCTGAAGACCTCCCATGAAGCCACAGTGACTGGTCAAGTTCACCTGGAATATAGGAAAATGGATCATCAAACTTACATAAGATACACCAACTCAAGGAGTGGGCCAACAACGTGTTTTCAGTGTTCTAAATCAGGCACAGAAAAAATAAACTCCCTTTTTAAGGACCCTGTCTTTCAAAGATAATTCGTAAAAATCAAAATAACTTCACAGATCTTCATTGTAAAGGGTTTAAACACTGTTTCCCATGCTTGTTCAATGAACCATAAACAATTAATGAACATGCACCTGTGGAACGGTCGTTAAGACACTCACAGCTTACAGACGGAAGGCAATTAAGGTAACAGTTATGAAAACGTAGGCCTTTCTACTGACTGAAAAACACCAAAAGAAAGATGCCCAGGGTCCCTGCTCATCTGCGTGAATGTGCCTTAGGCATGCTGCAAGGAGGCATGAGGACTGCCAGTGCAATAAATTGCAATGTCCGTACTGTGAGACGCCTAAGACAGCGCTACAGGGAGACAGGACGGACAGCTGATCGTCCTCGCAGTGGCAGACCACGTGTAACAACACCTGCACAGGATCGGTACATCCGAACATCACACCTGCGGGACAGGTACAGGATGGCAACAACAACTGCCCGAGTTACACCAGGAATGCACAATCCCGCCATCAGTGCTCAGACTGTCCTCAATAGGCTGAGAGAGGCTGGACTGAGGGCTTGTAGGCCTGTTGTAAGGCAGGTCCTCACCAGACCTCACCGGCAACAACGTCGCCTATGGGCACAAACCCACCATCGCTGGACCAGACAGGACTGGCAAAAAGTGCTCCTCACTGACGAGTCGCAGTTTTGTCTCACCAGGGGTGATGGTCGGATTCGCGTTTATCGCTGAAGGAATGAGCGTTACACCAAGGCCTGTACTCTGGAGCGGGATCGATTTGGAGGTGGAGGGTCCGTCATGGTCTGGGGTGGTGTGTCACAGCATCATTGGACTGAGCTTGTTGTCATTGCAGGCAATCTCAACGCTGTGCATTACATGCGGTACCCTTCCTGCAGGCTCATCCTGATATGACCTCCAGCATGACAATGCCACCGGCCATACTGCTTGTTCTGTGAGTGATTTCCTGCAAGACAGGAATGTCAGTGTTCTGCCATGGCCAGCGAAGAGCCCGGATCTCAATCCCATTCAGCACGTCTGGGACCTGTTAGATCGGAGGGTGACAGCTAGGGCCATTCCCCCCAGAAATGTCCGGGAACTTGCAGGTGCATTGGTGGAAGAGTGGGGTAACATCTCACAGCAAGAACTGGCAAATCTGGTGCAGTCCATGAGGAGGAGATGCACTGCAGTACTTAATGCAGCTGGTAGCCACACCAGATACTGACTGTTACTGTTACCCCCCCCCCCCCCCCCTTTGTTCAGGGACACATTATTCAATTTCTGTTAGTCACATGTTGTGGAACTTGTTCAATTTATGTCTCAGTTGTTGAATCTTGTTATGTTCATACAAATATTTACACATGTTAAGTTTGCTGAAAATAAACGCAGTTGACAGTGAGAGGACGTTTCATTTTTTGCTGAGTTTATAACTCAATACTAATATAACTCAACAATAACTCACTAATGAATACTTGACTAAATAAACCAGGTAACCACATAAGGCTTATCAGTAAGAGTATGTGTTGTGTATATACACTGAGTATACAAAACATTAAGAACACCTGCTCTTTCCATGACATTATTATTTTTTTTTTACCTTTATTTAACCAGGAAAGGCTCATTGAGATTTAAAATCTCTTTTTCAAGAGCGTCCTGGCCAAGATAGGCAGCACCAAGTCATTACAAAAAATTACAGACAGACAACATGAAAAACTACAAGTAATCTAGTAAAAACCATTCATGAATTCACAAGAGTATAACAATATCAAAAACAGCAAATTAAAAACATTGACAGGTCAGGGAATCAGCCTCAAAATCCTTCATCAGAGATTTAAAAACACCAATCGGGACAAGTTCTTCCAGTTTAAAATTATTTTGTAAGGTGTTCCAAGACGATGGCGCAGAGTACATAAAAGACCTTTTACCAAATTCAGTTCGGACATTTGGAACAGTTAGCAGGAGTACCCACCACATTTCTGAACAATAAAAATGCCCAAATAAAAAGGTAGTAAACCCAAAATGGCTTTGTAAATAAAAGTATACCAGTGACTGAGCCTACGAGTGACTAGAGAAGGCCAGCCAACCCTGGTATACAAAGTACAGTGGTGCGTAAGGGTTTTGCAGTTTAAAATAAATCTCAAAGTACCATGATAAAGAGTGTCAATTGATCTCAAACACTGAGCGGAAGCATTCATATATAAAATATCCCCATAGTCTAGTAAAGGCATAAATGTAGCTGATACTAGCCTCCTTCTGGCTTCAAAAGAAAAACAGGCCTTATTCCTAAAATAAAATCCCAATTTCAGCTTCAATTTTTTTGTAAGTTGTTGAATATGCAATTTAAAAGAGAGGCCGTCATCAATTAGAATTCCAAGATATTTATATGAGGTTACAACCTCAATCTCCTTGCCCTGACAGGTAGTAACAGGTGAAAGGTTCAGAGGTCTATTTCTTGCATTAGAAAACACCATTAGTTTAGTTTTGTCAGTATTGAGGATAAGCTTCAATTGACACAAGGTATGTTGAACAGTATAAAAAGCAGTTTGCAAGTTCTGGAAAGCTTTTGTAAGAGATGAGGCACAACAGTAAATAACAGTATCATCAGCATAAAAATGAAGTTGTGCATTTTGGACATTTTTGTCTAAATCATTAATATAAATAGTGAATAAGAGAGGACCAAGTACAGAGCCCTGGGGCACACCATTCAGGACAGACAATTTAACAGACATAAGCCCATCAAATTGAGTGCACTGAGTTCTATCAGACAGATAGTTAGCAAACCATGCAACTGCATGCTCCGAAAGACCTACACTCAACAATCTCTGCCTTAGTATAGCATGATCAACTGTATCAAAAGCCTTAGAGAGATCAATAAAAAGTGAGACACAGTGCTGTTTTTTGTCAAGGGCTTCAGTGATATCATTTAAAACCTTCATGGCTGCTGTAATTGTGCTATGCTTCTTCCTGAAGCCCGATTGATACATTGATAAAATAGAGTTAGTAAATAAAAACTATTTTAGCTGTTCACTTACAAGGGTTTCAAGTATTTTCACCAGGGGTGACAGCTTTGAGATTGGCCTATAATTATTTAAAAGAGTTGGATCTCCCCCTTTTAAAAGTGGTAGGACAAATGCTGACTTCCAGATCTTTGGAATTTCATTACATTCCAGTGTTAGATTGAACAGATATGTAAGTGGTTCAGCTATGAAATCAGCTGCCAGATTTAAAAAGCAGGGATCCAAAAGATCAGGACCTGCAGGCTTTCTTTGATCTAAGGATTTCAGGGCTTTATGTACCACCTGCACTGAGAATGGCAGAAAACTAAAAGTTTGACCAGCTCTCACTGGTTCATCCACACAGGGTTGTACAGAGACAGAGGACACTGGTTCATCCACACAGGGTTGTACAGAGACAGAGGACACTGAATCAAACAGCCTACCAGATGATACAAAGTGCTCATTGAAACAATTCAGCATTTCAGTTTTGTCATATATAGCAACAGAGTCCTTCAAAACACATGACGGTAATTCATTAACATTACTGTTACCAGACATAGACTTAATAGCATTCCAAAACTTTCTAGGGTCATTCAGGTTATCAGTGGTAACAGACATAAAATATTCAGACTTGGCCTTCCTGAGAAGAAAAGAACACTTGTTTCTTAACTGCCTAAAAATAAGCCAATCAGCATCAGAACAAGATTTCCTTGCTTTAGCCCAGGCTAGATTACGGTCGTGAATAATACAAGACAGCTCAGAAGAAAACCATGGATTATCCCGCCCTTTAACCCTGAACCTGCGGAATGGTGCATGTTTGTTTACTATTTGGAAAAAACCATCATGAAAGAATATCCAGGCAGTTTCCACATCAGGGATAAGCTCAATCTTGCTCCAGTCAAAATAAAACAAATCATGAAAGAAAGCCTGCTCATTAAAACACTTCAAATTTCTCTTACGAATAAAACGTGGATTTGTCTTTGGAACCTTAGTATTTCTAACAGCAACAACAGCACAATGGTCACTTAAATCATTACAAAAAACACCAACCGCAGAATATTTATGTGGAACATTTGTCAATATCAAATCAATCAGGGTAGATTTATCAGGGCATTTAAGATTTGGGCGAGTGGGTGAATTAATCAACTGGGTAAGATTCATAGAATTACAAAACATTTTTAAATCATCAGACACCGGCTTTAACCAACACCAGTTGAGATCACCAATCAAGATCATTTCACTGTAAAGAAGTTTAGACATAAGGTGCGCCAAAGAAGAAAATGCATCACCAAGAGCAGAGGGGGGTCTATAACAGCCAATCACAGTTATAGAGAGGCCCTTTGAAACCTCAATATTCAAAGCAAGAAATTCCAACTGTTTACAAATAGTTTCAGACTTTGCCACACTTACATGGAATTTAGATTTTACATATATAGCCACACCCCCACCTTTCTTAACCCGATCTGCACGATAAACATTGTAACCACTTGTACAAATATCCTTATCAAAAATAGACTTGCTGAGCCAGGTTTCCGAAAACACAATTACATCAGCATCAGTTGATTTAGCCCAAATCCTAACCCGCTGCGTACATTTAAATGAAAAATACCAAAACCAGATCTTGATTTAAAATCAGAGGGGGTTTGGAGACATTGCATATCAGGGCCAGGGTTAGGTTGCACGTTACCTGATATCAACAACAGAAGAATAACTAGGCACCTCTGTTTAATAACCTTGCACGGCTTCTCTTTTTTAAGAGACCTACTGCAAGCGAATTCTACAAGTGAGTTTCCAGACAATACAAAACAGTCATTTAAAACCATTAGACTTTGGTAGTGACACAAATTCGTACTGTTCACATCATGCCACAAATGCATCGGCACTTGGACGAGTGGACCGAGTGAAAAAGAGTGAGTTCCTGCAGACAAAATGTCTAATGGACGCGAGAGTACATTGTCAGATGTACTCACCCTGCGACAATGTTCGTTTTCTCCAGAGTTCAATAAAGTCAGTGCACAAAGCAATACCACGTAAATTGTCATTTTCTCTGACCAAAAAACAAGAGGCCAACGAAGGTAAGTGGAGAGAGGGACAGCGTGTATGTGAGTCAATGTGAGTGTTTGCGCGTGTGAGTAGATTGGGTGTTGAGGGCGATAGAGGGAACGGGTTGAGCTGCCACTGACAGCCAGGCGAAGAGCAAGGAGCAGCTCGGACAAGACACTCCGCGGACTAACGAGGAACTCAGGCCAGCCAGAGATAGGGTTACTTTGGTAAACTTCAAGTAATGAAGTTCCGAGTTGAGGAGGACCCGTGATCTTTACACCAGCAAAAATAAAATAGTTTGCACTACGCAACAACGAAGTTACGCAACCATAAATAAATAGATTATTAGTAGGTTAAAATGTACTAGTCACAAACAAACGACTTGACAAACGACTTGACATGCTGCCATCTTGGAGTGGAGCACTGGAATAAATAGATTATTAGTAGGTTAAAATGTACCGACTGACCAGGTGAATCCAGGTGAAAGCTATGATCCCTTATTGATGTCACCTGTTAAATCCACTTCAAATCAGTGTAGATGAAGGGGAGGAGACAGATTAAAGAAGGATTTTTAAGCCTTGAGACAATTGAGAAATGAGGGTGAATGGGCAAGACAAAAGATTTAAGTGCCTTTGAACGGGGTATGGTAGTAGGTGACGGGCGCACCGGTTTGTGTCAAGACCTGCAATGCTGCTGGGTTTTTCACACTCAACAGTTTCCTGTGTGTATCAAGAATGGTCCACCACCCAAAGGACATCCAGCCAACTTGACACAACTGTGGGAAGCATTGGAGTCAATATGGGCCAGCATCCCTGTGGAATGCTTTCGACACCTTGTAGAGTCCATGACCCGACGAATTGAGACTGTTCTGAGGGCAAAAGGGGGGTGCAACTTAATATTAGGAAGGTGTTCCTAATGTTTTGTACACTCAGTGTACAGAGATGCTGAAAGTTGTATTGGAGAGAGAGGAGTCCGTCTTACCTCCCAGCCCAGCCCAGAGACAAAGTCCTCGTAAGCCTGACTCCCCCTGGTGTTACACAGGATAGAGTGCTTGTCCTCCTGCCCTTCCGCCACGTAAAACACAGCTATTTTGTGTGTCTCTCGACTAGAGGAAAAGATGGGGAATGAGAGAAAAGATAAGGAACAAGATGAGAAATATAAGGACACATTTTTGTTGTTCTATAAGTAAAACAGTCTGAGGAATAAGAACCACTAACATACCACTGCCTGGAGTCGAGGTTCTTCAGCTCTCTAAGCAGCTTCTCGTTCTTCTTCAGGAGATGGAAGTTGCTCCTATAACAGAAAACAACAACAAGTGTATAAGCCACTGGCATAAAGAATTGTGACATAGATTCTACATAGCCTACAGATTCTATTTACAACACAGTGATGTCTTGGAAAATATTCTAAAGTATTCGGAAGCTTGACTGCAACAAGACACTGAGAATGGACAATAAAGTATAAATTGTATTATATTCACAACAACAACAACATTACCCAGGCCTGTCCTCACTCCCTGACAGTGATCAGGTGATTAGGTCTATACTGCACAGATATTCACTAAGTAGCCCGCAGACTTCTCCCTCCGCCTGCCGCAGACTACCTCTCCATCATTAGCAGGCCCACATGCCTAATTGGCCACCTCTTTGTTTTTGTCACAGCATTTCCTGGAACATTAGACCAATCGAGTCAAACCACAGCCAAACAAGATGGCATGCAGTGGTGGCAGGAACTCTGGGAAATAAATACAAAATCATCACTCACAGGATTTAGCTAAAAACACGAATACACTGCAACTTTATAGCAAGCGATGGACAGATAGAGATGCAATCATAATATCCTGAGAAATAAATAAGCTTATATGTTAGTTACCGCCCCGGTGTAACGACATGAAAGATCTGAACCTTTAAAACGTTGCCTTATTTTCCCCAATCTGGAGTTTGAACATTAGCCGCTTAGGCCTCGTCAAGTTCGAACAGAGGGGACGACGACGACTCATGTAAAAGCCACGACTACTTAAAAAAAAAAAATGTGTTTCATGGTGTTTTTCCTCCTCCCTCTCACCATTTGAGTATGGCCCTCTTTATTAGCTTGTTACAATGTCTTAATTTTCTCCATTGAAAGAGCCATTTCAAAAGGCAGCAAGCGGGAACAGCATTAAAGGCCAATATTACTCAGTGCACACACGCTCGCCCACGGACCCTCATTTTGTACTGCTGTGATGGGTCAGTTTTATGCGATAATATTGCGATGATTTGACAGTTTTATGTGGAAATGTTGCGGTGACTGGTCAAATTTGCAAGCCCTGCGATCACAGAATTCGGAATCCTGGAGGGACTGAAAATGTCAACTGTACCAACGCTACAGCGGCAGGGCTTTGAAAAGTCTCTCTGTGTTTGTGTTTGTGTCCTTTTATTCTTTCTTTGCATGATGTGAGTAGGCGAATATACTGAACAAAAATATACAATGCAACATGCAACAATTTCAAATATTTTACTGAGTTACAGTTCATATAAGAAAATCTGTCAATTGAAATTAATTCATTAGACCCTAGTCTATGGATTTCACATGACTGGGAATACAGATCACTTTTTTAAAAGGTAGGGGTGAGCTGAAGTTGCTGGATATTGGCGGGAACTGGAACACGCTGTCGTACACGTCGATCCAGAGCATCCCAAACATGCTCAATGGGTGACATGTCTGGAGAATATGCAGGCAATGGAAGAACAGGGACATTTTCAGCTTACAGGAATTGTGTACAGATCCTTGCGACACGGGGCAGTGCATTATCATGCTGAAACATGAGGTGATGGCGGCAGATGAATGGCAACACAATGGGCCTCAGGAGCTCGTCACGGTATCTCTGTGCATTCAAATTGCCATCGATAAAATGCAATTGTGTTCGATGTCGTAGCTTATGCCTGCCCATACCATAACCCACCGCCACCATGAGGCACTCTGTTCACAACGTTGACATCAGCAAACCACTCGCCCACACAACGCCATACACGTGGTCTGAGGTTGTGAGGCCGGTTGGACGTACTGCCAAATTCTCTAAAGCGACGTTTAAGGCAGTTATACATTTTAAAAACATTACAATACATTCATAGCAGATTTCACAACATATTAAGTGTGTGCCCTCAGGCCTCTACTCAACTACCACATATCTATAACACAAAATCCATGTGTACATGTGTGTATAGTGCGTATGTTATCATGTGTTTGCATGCAAGTGTCTATGTTTGTGTTGCTTCACAGTCCCCGCTGTTCCATAAGGTGTATTTGTATCTGTTTTTTAAATCTAATTTTACTGCTTGAGTTACTTGATGTGGAATAGAGTTCCATGTAGTCATGGCTCTATGTAGTACTGTGCGCCTCCCATAGTCTGTTCTTGACTTGTGGACTGTGAAGAGACCTCTGGTGGCATATCTTCTGGGGTATGCATGGGTGTCCGAGCTGTGTGCCAGTAGTTCGAACAGACAGCTCAGTGCATTCAACATGTCAATACCTCTCACAAATATCCACAGGGATTTAACAGTTTTTACAGTCATTTTCTTAATGGGTGCATGCTTATTAGTAACTGGGATAAGCAATTTCATAAATGTGTCAAGTGCAGCGTCTGGTTGCTCGTCATTACACACCACAGACCAACAAATATTATTCACATCAACAACATAGGAATCACTACAAAATGTATTGTATGACCTCTTATACACAATATTAGGCCCAGCCTTTGGAACTTTGGTTTTCCTAGATATCGCTACTATATTGTGATCACTACATCCAATGGATTTGGATACTGCTTTCAAACAAATTTCTGCAGCATTAGTAAAGATATGATCAATACATCTTGATGATTTAATTTCTGTACTGTTTGTGACTACCCTGGTAGGTTGATTGATAACCTGAACCAGGTTACAGGCACCAGTTACAGTTTGAAGCTTTCTCTTGAGTGGGCAGCCTGAAGAAAGCCAGTCAATATTTAAATCACCCAGAAAGTATACCTCGCTATTGATATCACATATACACTGCTCAAAAAAATTAAGGGAACACTAAAATAACACATCCTAGATCTGAATGAATGAAATAATCTTATTAAATACTTTTTTCTTTACATAGTTGAATGTGCTGACAACAAAATCACACAAAAATTATCAATGGAAATCAAATTTATCAACCCATGGAGGTCTGGATTTGGAGTCACCCTCAAAATTAAAGTGGAAAACCACACTACAGGCTGATCCAACTTTGATGTAATGTCCTTAAAACAAGTCCAAATGAGGCTCAGTAGTGTGTGTGGCCTCCACGTGCCTGTATGACCTCCCTATAACGCCTGGGCATGCTCCTGATGAGGTGGCGGATGGTCTCTTGAGGGATCTCCTCCCAGACCTGGACTAAAGCATCCGCCAACTCCTGGACAGTCTGTGGTGCAACGTGGCGTTGGTGGATGGAGCGAGACATGATGTCCCAGATGTGCTCAATTGGATTCAGGTCTGGGGAATGGGCGGTCCATAGCATCAATGCCTTCATCTTGCAGGAACTGCTGACACACTCCAGCCACATGAGGTCTAGCATTGTCTTGCATTAGGAGGAACCCAGGGCCAACCGCACCAGCATATAGTCTCACAAGGGGTCTGAGGATCTCATCTCGGTACCTAATGGCAGTCAGGCTACCTCTGGCAAGCACATGGAGGGCTGTGCGGCCCCCCAAAGAAATGCCACCCCACACCATGACTGACCCACCGCCAAACCAGTCATGCTGGAGGATGTTGCAGGCAGCAGAACGTTCTCCACGGCGTCTCCAGACTCTGTCACGTCTGTCACATGTGCTCAGTGTGAACCTGCTTTCATCTGTGAAGAGCACAGGGCACCAGTGGCGAATTTGCCAATCTTGGTGTTCTCTGGCAAATGCCAAACGTCCTGCACGGTGTTGGGCTGTAAGCACAACCCCCACCTGTGGACGTCGGGCCCTCATACCACCCTCATGGAGTCTGTTTCTGACCGTTTGAGCAGACACATGCACATTTGTGGCCTGCTGAAGGTCATTTTGCAGGGCTCTGACAGTGCTCCTCCTGCTCCTCCTTGCACAAAGGCGGAGGTAGCAGTCCTGCTGCTGGGTTGTTGCCCTCCTACGGCCTCCTCCATGTCTCCTGATGTACTGGCCTGTCTCCTGGTAGCGCCTCCATGCTCTGGACACTACGCTGACAGACACAGCAAACCTTCTTGCCACAGCTCGCATTGATGTGCCATCCTGGATGAGCTGCACTACCTGAGCCACTTGTGTGGGTTGTAGACTCCGTCTCATGCTACCACTAGAGTGAAAGCACCGCCAGCATTCAAAAGTGACCAAAACATCAGCCAGGAAGCATAGGAACTGAGAAGTGGTCTGTGGTCACCACCTGCAAAGCCAGTCATTTATTGGGGGTGTCTTGCTAATTGCCTATAATTTTCACCTGTTGTCTATTTCATTTGCACAACAGCATGTGACATTTATTGTCAATCAGTGTTGCTTCCTAAGTGGACAGTTTGATTTCACAGAAGTGTGATTGACTTGGAGTTACATTGTGTTGTTTAAGTGTTCCCTTAATTTTTTTGAGCAGTGTATTATCAAGCATTTCACATGTTATCCAGATAGTGACTGTTAGCACTTGGTGGTCTATAGCAGCTTCCCACCAGAATGGGCTTTAGGTGAGGCAGGTGAACCTGTAGCCATATTACTTCAACAGTATTTAACATGAGATCCTCTCTAAGCTTTACAGGAATGTGGTTCTGAATGTAGACCACAACACCGCCCCAATTGGCATTTCTGTCTTTTCTGTAAATGTTATAACCTCATATTGCTACCACAGTATCATCAAAGGTATTATGTAAGTGAGTTTCAGAGATTGTCACAATATGAATGTCATCTGTTACTAGCAATTTATTGATTTAATGAACCTTGTTTCTTAAGCTACATATGTCAACATGAGCTATTTTTAACACTTTTCTGGGATGCTTGATTCTTTTTCTTGCTTTACTGGGAAGCTAAGCAGAGGTAGACATACTCGGGCTATTTTTAGTAGTGCTGGGTGAGCTGCACACAGTGGACTTCCTACTAGGGCACAACACCTCAGTGCTAACAGTATTACTCTGGTTCATAGGCATATGAGTACTGTATACAATAGCTGTAGGATGTGATACGCAGTTTCCATTTAGCCCAATTAATTCTCATCATTAAAGTTCCAGCCTCCATCTCTAGTAATACAATTAGATAATACTTCAAAGACATCAATGAAAAAAGCCACCAGAAATAGCTGCTTCAGGAAATGGATTTACGCAAAGTAATATAAGTGAAGTGTGGTGATAATGAGGTGGATGAGATGACCATATGAGTGAGTGAGTGAGAGAGAAAGAAAGAAATAGAGAGAGAAAGAGATGCGGACGGACTAGCTACTCTAAGCTGATTATACTAAATCTCACTGACGGGCTGAGAGACAAACAAGGCTGGCGGTAGCAGTGACACATGGTGCATTCCCCCCCCCCCCCCACCATTTGAATATAGCACAGCACCAAGAACAAGCTGAAGTTAAATCATCACATACCCATTTTCTACAAGAGTCTACTGGATCTCTTCAAATGTGCCAGTTCTGTGAACAATAGGCTACCTGCAGAATTAGCTATTTTTCCATAAAAACCGTAGACTATGATTTTGGTCATGTTCAGTAGGGCACACCGTAGCAAAGCGTTTCCAAACTGAAAATGGGCTTTTCATATTGAACAAGTTTGGGTAATACAGTGCCTTCAGAAAGTATTCAAACCCCTCTACTTTTTCCACATTTTGTTGTGTTACAGCCTGAATTTAAAATTGATTAAATTGAGATTTGTGTCACTGGCAGATACACAATACCCCATAATGTCAAAGTGGAATTATGTTTTTACTCACTCTGTGTGCAATAATAGTGTTTAACATGATATCACACACACACAATTATCTGTTAGGTCCCTCAGTCGAGCAGTGAATTTCAAACACAGATTCAACCACAAAGACCAGGGAGGTTTTCCAATGCCTCGCAAAAAGGGCTACCTATTTGCAGATAGATAACATTTTTAAAAAGCAGACATTGAATATCACGTTTAGCATATTAAAGTTATTAATTACACTTTGAATGGTGTATTAATACACCCAGTGACTACAAAGTTACAGTCCATTCGGAAAGTATTCAGACCCCTTGACTTTTTCCACATTTTCTAAGTTACAGCCTTATACTAAAATTGATTAAATCGTTTTTTTCCCCCTCATCAATCTACACACAATATGAGATAATACCCCATAATGAAAAAGCAAAAACTGGTTTTTAGAAATGTTTTCTGAAATATCACATTTACATAAGTACTCAGACCCTTTACTCAGTACTTTGTTCAAGCACCTTTGGCAGCGATTACAGCCTCGAGTCTTCTTGGGTATGACGCTACAAGCTTGGCACGCCTGTATTTGGGGAGTTTCTCCCATTCTTCTCTGCAGATCCTCTCAAACTCTATCAGGTTGGATGGGGAGTGTCGCTGTACAGCTATTTTCAGGTCTATCCAGAGATGTTCGATCGGGTTCAAGTCCGGGCTCTGGCTGGGCCACTCAAAGACATTCAGAGACTTGTCCTGAAGCCACTCCTGTGTTGTCTTGGCTGTGTGCTTAGGGTCGTTGTCCTGCTGGAAGGTGAACCTTCGCCCCAGTCTGAGGTCCTGAGCGCTCTGGAGCAGGTTTTCATCAAGGATCTCTCTGTACTTTGCTCCATTCATCTTTCCCTCGATCCTGACTAGTCTCCCAGTCCCTGCCGCTGAAAAACATCCCGACAGTATGACGCTGCCTCCACCATGCTTCACCGTAGGGATGGTGCCAGGTTTCCTCCAGATGTGATGCTTGGCATTCAGGCCACAGAGTTCAATCTTGGTTTCATCAGAACAGATAATCTTGTTTCTCATGGTCTGAGAGTCCTTTAGGTGCCTTTTGGCAAACTCCAAGCGGGCTGTCATGTGCCTTTTACTGAGGAGTGGCTTCTGTCTGGCCTTTCTACCATAAAGAGTGCTGCAGAGATGGTTGTCCTTATGGAAGGTTCTCCCATCTCCACAGAGGAACTCTGGAGCTCTGTCAGAGTGACCATCGGGTTCTTAGTCACCTCTCTGACCAAGGCCCTTCTCCCCCAATTGCTCAGTTTGGCCGGGCGGCCAGTTCTAGGAAGAGTCTTGGTGGTTCCAAACTTCTTCCATTTAAGAATGATGGAGGTCACTGTGTTCTTAGGGACCTTCAATGCTGCAGAAATGTTTTGGTACCCTTCCCCAGATCTGTGCCTCCACACAATCCTGTCTCTGAGCTCCACAGACAATTCCTTTGACCCCATGGCTTGGTTTTTGCTCTGACATGCACTGTCAACTGTGGGACCTTATATAGACAGGTGTGTTCCTTTCCAAATCATGTCCAATCAATTGAATTTACCACAGGTGGACTCCAATCAAGTTGTAGAAACATCTCAAGGATGATCAATGGAAACAGGACGAACCTGAGCTCAATTTCAAGTCTCATAGCAAAGGGTCTGAATACTTTTTTTAATCTGTTTTTTATTTTTAATACATTTGCATAAATTTCTAAAAACCTGTTTTCGCTTTGTCATTATGGGGTATTGTGTGTAGATTGACGAGAAGATGTAATCCATTTTAGAATAAGGCTGTAATGTAACAACATTTGGAAAAAGGGAAGGGGTCTGAATCCTTTCCGAATGCACTGTATACAGGCGTCCTTCCTAACTCAGATGCCGGAGAGGAAGGAAACCGCTCAGGGATTTCACCATGAGGCAATGGTGACTTTAAAACAGTTACAGAGTTTAATGGCTGTGATAGGAGAAAACTGAGGATGGATCAACAACATTGTAGTTACTCCACAACACTAACCTAAATGACAGAGTGAAAAGAAGGAAGCCTGTACAGAAGAAAAATATTCCAAAACATGCATCCTGGCACTAAAGTAAAACTGCAAAAAATAAATTAAATTTATGTCCTGAATACAAAGTGTTATGTTTGTGGCAAATCCAATACAACACATCACTGAGCACCACTCTTCATATTTTCAAGCACGGTGGTGGCTGCATCATGTTATGGGTCTGCTCGTCATCGGCAAGGACTAAGGAGGATTTTTTTTGGATAAAAATAAACATAATAGAGCTAAGCACGGGCAAAATCCTGGAGGAAACCCTGGTTCAGTCTGCTTTCCAACAGACACTGGGAGACAAAATCACCTTTCAGCAGGACAATAACCTAAAACACAAGGCCAAATATACACTGGAGTTTCTTACCAAGACGACATTGAATGTTCCTGAGCGGCCCAGTTACAGTTTTGAATTAAATCGGCTTGAAAATCTATGGCAATGATTGACAACCAACTTGACAGACCTTGAAGAATTCTGAAAACAATAATGGGCAAATGTTGCACAATCCAGGTGTGGAAAGCTCTTAGACTTACCAAGAAAGACTCACAGCTGTAATCGCTGCCAAAGTTGATTCTAACATGTATTGACTCAGTGGTGTAAAATGTCCTAACATTTCTAAAAACATGTTTTCACTTTGTCATTATGAGGCATTGTGTTTAGATGGGTGAAAAACAATCTATTTAATCAATTTTGAATTCAGGCTGTAACACAACAACATATGGAATTAGTCAAGGGGTATGTATACTTTCTGAAGGCACTGTACTTCCCAGTTTCAAAATGTTTTCTCCTGTTTTGTGCCCCACTGAACAGGACCCTGGTTTGTGGTGTGGCGTGTCTCTCTCACCTCTTCTCCCAGGAGTTCAAGCCCAGGATGTTGAGTAGCAGCCTGCAGTAGTAGAAGGCTGACTGGGGCCTCTGAGGCCCCGGCTCCCCCTGCTCCACGGCCCTCATGTTCAGCCCATTCCCCCTGTGCACCGCAAAGTCCCTCTCCTCTGCACACTGCTTCAGGATGGCGTTGATCACGTCGTTCTCCTGCTTCTCTGACACACAGACAGGCGGTGGGGCGTGGATGTTAAGGGGGGCTCCGGCCCGCTGAAGGCACTCGGGGCTGGAGTAACCCAGGTACTGCAGCATCTCATCTAGAACATCTTCTTCTTCTCGCAGGGAGTCCCAGTACGGGACCGCCTCGCGACACACACGCTTAGCTTGCGGGGCCATGAGCGCCAACACACCTTCCTCTTCCTCCTCTTCTTCCTCTCCTTCCTCCTCCACAGCCTCCCCCTCCTCCTCCTCTCCAAGCACCTCCTCCTCTCCCAGCACCACCACCACCACCACCTCCTCTTCCTCCAGTGCTGCCCCCTCTTCCCTCTCCTCTTCTTCCTTCTCTACAGGGTCTCCAACCCAGTTCTTCTCCTTCTCCCCCTCTGTAGTCCTTCTCTCTGTCATTCTCTCCGTTGGTCTGTTACTGTAGAGGTGCAGGGGCTGATTGGGAGCACCACAGTGAGGTGGCCCGTACAGCACAGCCGAATCCCACGAGTGTTTGCCGGAGATGTCTCGGACGATAACCCTCACACAGGCACTGGTGGTGGTGAGGCCTGCAGACATTCCTCCTCCAGGCACACCGTCCTCAGCCCGGATCTGTAGACAGGATAGGAGGGTGGTGCCGTTCAGGACAAAGAACTGTAGGTTGGGCCCGTCGAAGAGCTCTGGGGCCAGGTCAGGGCTCTCGCTGTAGGGGTTGTCCATGTTCTCACACACCTGGCTGGTCAGGGTGGCAGGGCCTCCAGACATGGGGTAGTGGCCAAGGTGGTTGACCAGGTGGGTGATGACTGTCCTGGCCGCGATGGAGATCAGACCGTGCTGGATACGGCGCCGCACTGCAGGGGAAGAGGAAGATAGAAAGAATAAGGAGATAACAAAGAGATGAAGAGCTCTAAAACAAGAACAGGGGGATATAACCTTCCCAAGTTATCTCACGTCACCCCGCTCCTCCGCACACTCCACTGGCTTCCAGTTGAAGCTCGCATCTGCTACAAGACCATGGTGCTTGCCTACGGAGCTGTGAGGGGAACGGCACCTCCGTACCTTCAGGCTCTGATCAGTCCCTACACCCAAACGAGGGCACTGCGTTCATCCACCTCTGGCCTGCTGGCTCCCCTACCTCTGCGGAAGCATAGTTCCCGCTCAGCCCAGTCAAAACTGTTCGCTGCTCTGGCACCCCAATGGTGGAACAAGCTCCCTCACGACGCCAGGACAGCGGAGTCACTCACCACCTTCCGGAGACATTTGAAACCCCACCTCTTTAAGGAATACCTGGGATAGGATAAAGTAATCCTTCTACCCCCACCCCCCCCTTTACTCCAACCCCCCCCCCCAAAAAAAAAAAAAAAAAAAAAACATTGTAAAGTGGTTATCCCACTGGCTATAAGGTGAATGCACCTATTTGTAAGTCGCTCTGGATAAGAGCGTCTGCTAAATGACGTAAATGTAAATATAATGGAAACTGTTTAATGTTGACATTGCAGCATTTCTCAAGACCAGTCTCAATAAACAGGAGAAAATATAGAAAAAGCCAGCCAGTCAGCTGATAACATGTAGGTATCAGCTCAACCCAGTGGGACAAGGTATTCCTAGTGTTAGAGTTAATCTCCAACAGAGTGTAGAGGGATGATGGAATCTAGCCAATCAAAAATCATTAAAATGTATGATGAAGAAAGCAGGGTCTGTGTAGTAAAATGCTAGATACCAGTTACAACGCTAGATACCAGTTAAACCAGTAACAACGCTAGACACCAGTTGCAACGCTAGACACCAGTTGCAACGCTAGACACCAGTTGCAACGCTAGACACCAGTTGCAACGCTAGACACCAGTTACACCACTAAACACCAGTTACAACGCTAGATACCAGTAACAACGCTAGATACCAGTAACAACGCTAGATACCAGTAACAACGCTAGATACCAGTAACAACGCTAGATACCTCAATGGTTCCAATGTAGAATCTCTTTACATTTCTGGGTGGCACCATGCATAGAACAAGCCAATGCCATCACACTCAGTGTGCTACCAACCATCACTTTCCAATAAGCATAATCACAGCCACACAGAGCTACATAAACCCTGTGTGAGACATTACAGGGAAAAATAATGTGGCTATCGACAGGACAGGAGGACAGGTTCATCTCTCTCTCCAATAAAATCTAGGGGGGCCTTTAAGGCACAGATCTTTCTTGCAAAAGCGATTTTTATCTCAATGAGACAAACCTATGTAAATAAAGGTTAAATAAAAAGGTAACATCTCTCCCTCCATCCATCTATCTTTCCTCCGACACCCCAAAAGAAAAGGAAAGGAATGAAATTAACTAATAAATGGATAGATCGAGGACCGGAGGGAAAAGGGGTGTTAGTTGCTAAGGAAGGAAGCATGCCTCACAAAGTGCTCCAATGATTAGTCATTGTCTCTTTCAGGAAAAAGCTGCAGGTGTCCCCTGCTGCTCTGAATCTAACACAGGACACATAGGAGCCTAGCTGCATTCACATCACATCCGGTCCTTAGGAGAAGGAATCAGAGTATGGGAGAGGTAGAGATTAACACAGAGGAGGAGGAGGAGAAGAAGGTGTTTTGTTCTTACCCTCAGTGACAGGCTGTAGTTTGGAGGAGCGTTCTGAGTCAGGGGAGTGGAGGGGCTCTGGTTCCTTCAGAATCTCCAGTAGCAAGAAGGGGTCGTAGTCTGGACTGGTCAGGTCTGACAGGTTCATAGGGAAATACCTAGGGCTGTTGAAGTTCTGGGCCCCATACACACAGCCATGCAGCACCTGGGGGGAGAAGAGGGAGAGAGAGGAGTAATCAATGAACACTACTGCACTATTTCACAGAGAAAGCGAGAGAGAAAGAATGAGAGAGAGAGAAAAAGAGGGAAAGAAACTTGAGAGGAGGAATCCTTATCGGAAATAAGTAATTAAATTATCTGCTGATCCCGTCGCAGTGTGTTTCCATGGAGACAGAGACACAGAGAGAGAGAGAGAGAGAGAGAGAGAGAGAGGGTGGGTGGTAATGAGAAAAGAGGATGCTGTGATTGAGTGCTGACTACTGAGGAGTGAGTCTGGGTGTGCTCGGTGCCAGCTGTAGCATGCATTAGGAAGGAGGCCCCTAAGTCTGTATTAAAGCTGTAACGCAGCAGTCCTGAACTATTCCACAAATAATGACTTACGAGAGAGGCAGACAGACACCCAGCCACAGAAACCCTCCCCTAATAGCTCCATTAGGAAATGAAAGAACACTAAACACAAAGAAGTGCTACTCCATGGTTCAGGTTTGACACTCCACTGCACAGTGGCTTGCAAAAGTATTCACCCCCCTTGGCATTTTTCCCATTTTGTTGCCTTACAACCTGGAATTAACATTGATTTTTTTAAATATAATTTGATTTACACAACATGCCTACCACTATGAAGATGCAAAATCTTTTTTATTGTGAAACAAACAAGAAATAAGACAAAAAACAGACAACTTGAGCGTGCATAACTATTAACCCCCCCCCTTCAAGTTGGATGGGTTCCGCTGGTGTACAGCAATCTTTAAGTCATACCACACTTTTCTCAATTGGATTGAGGTCTGGGCTTTGACTAGGCCATTCCAAGACATTTAAATGTTTCCCCTTAAACCACTCAAGTGTTGCTTTAGCAGTATGCTTAGGGTCATTGTCCTGCTGGAAGGTGAACCTCCGTCCCAGTCTCAAATCTCTGGAAGACTGAAACAGGTTTCCCTCAAGAATTTCCCTGTATTTAGCGCCATCCATCATTCCTTCAATTCTGACCAGTTTCCCAGTCCCTGCCGACGAAAAACATCCCCACAGCATGATGCTGCCACCACCATGTGGGGATGGTGTTCTCGGGGTGATGAGAGGTGTTGGGTTTGCGCCAGACATAGCGTTTTCCTTGATGGCCAAAAAGCTCAATTTTTGTCTCATCTGACCAGAGTACCTTCTTCCATATGTTTGGGGAGTCTCCCACATGCCTTTTGGCGAACACCAAACGTGTTTGCTTATTTTTTTCTTTAAGCAATGGCTTTTTTCTGGCAACTCTTCCGTAAAGCCCAGCTCTGTGGAGTGTATGGCTTAAAGTGGTCCTATGGACAGATTCTCCAATCTCCGCTCTGGAGCTTTGCAGCTCCTTCAGGGTTATCTGAAAAATGTATGCACTCACTAACTGTAAGTCGCTCTGGATAAGAGCGTCTGCTAAATTACTAAAATGTAAAATGTACATCTTTGGTCTCTTTGTTGCCTCTCTGATTAATGCCCTCCTTGCCTGGTCTGTGAGTTTTGGTGGGCGGCCCTCTCTTGGCAGGTTTGGCATTTTTAAATAATGGATTTAATGGTGCTCCGTGGGATGTTCAAAGTTTCGGATAACCCATCCATTTTGTGTATGTCCATTACATGAAATCCAAATTGAAATCCATTTAAATTACAGGTTGTAATGCAACAAAATAGGAAAAACACCAAGGGGGATAAATACTTTTGCAAGGCACTGTATGCTGTGGTCAATGCTAACAAAAGTAAAGACGGATATGTCGGCATCAAATATTGCCTTGAAGTAAATCAATAAATAAAGCTCATTAGAAAGTATGGGCAAGGGTTCTATTTGGGACTGGGCATACCTTGTAGATACAGCTGAGGACAGACTTGTCTGGCTTCTCCTTGTCAGGGCTGAGGGTTTGGACAGGCTGCAGCAGAGTCTTAGGAGGCAGAGCCATCACCCAGTCCAGCAGGCACAACAGCAGAGACACCACCAACTAGGGCCAGGGAAGCAAAAACACAGTTTGATTTCATCAATAAATCAGAGAACAAAATACTGTGTTATGATGAGGGAAAATGTCTTAATTGAGCTTCTGCAAAAACCATTTCAGGCCAGTATACTGTAAATAGAAAACCAACAGTTGTGATCTTGTATTATTACTAGCTCTCCATGTGACTAGGAGAGTTGTGTGTGAGGAGAGGTGACATACCCTCTTGTCTAGTTCATGAGGGGAGGATTCTGTAGTGGGAAGCAGGTGAGTGATGGTCGCTATGAGGATCTGAAACAAGAGTTAAAAAGTTACTGAAAGCAAAAAGATACATTTGATTTTTTTGTCATTCAAAAAGGATACTCTTCAAAAGCTCCAAGACTAGTTCACATACTTTATTACATAAAAAAATGGACATGCCAATTTACCTCAACTATTTTCTTTGGAGTGTCTGGGGGGAATTTCTGAAGGTCATCAACATAGTTTATGAGCAAGTGCAGAATGTCGGAGGCCACCAGCGCAACAGTTTTATTTGGAAACTGAAAAACAAAAAGACAAACACGCACGCAACTGAGAAAAGGGGCTCAGGGAGATGACCCACCACCACCTCCTCTCTCCCTCCCTCCCTCCTCGTGACCCTGGCTCAGGAAGAGTGCAGAGTGCTTCTCCAGAGCAGCAAGCCAGGGCCAAGGCCCACACAAAACAATGGTCCGGATCACCAGCCAACCCATTTGATTGGATACCAATATGGAGAGGAGGAGGAGGTAGAGAAGGGGGGGGGGGGGGGGGCAGTTGGCGAGTGTCCTCATTTCAGACGACAGAAATATAACAATTCCTTGAGGTGGGTGAAGCATGTATTCTTCATGGGATTAGCCTTCGCCTTCTGTCTGAGCAGAGTGGAGCGCACAGAGAAGCCAAACATGTTGACAGTCAGGCCAGATTTAGCTGGGTTGGAGTTGTGTGTGTGTGTTGAGCCAGACCAAACCAGTCAGTACTGTCTGTAAGCTTCTTCTGGCTACTCAGTGCAGAACATCTTTCTCCCACTCCAGGCAGACTGACCCTACCGTAGACAAGGGCAGGCCACAGGGAGAGACTGCTGCTGTGCTACTGCTAACCAGGGACTGCTATAGTACACTTCACATGGCAAGGGACGAAGGCAAGGCAACACATTTCAACATTCTAATCACTGTGCATGGCAGATTACTCCAATAGTGTCAATAACACCAGGGTTGTGGGTTCAATTCCTGTAAGGATCACATACACATACTAGAAATGTATACACTCACTCTCACAGACACTTTGGATAAAAACATCTATAATAACAATAATAATAATATTAGCAATGGTCATCAAAATTGTTAAAAGGTTTTAAAAGGGCCTCCCGAGTGGTACAGCGGTCTAAGGCACTGCATCGCAGTGCTTGAGGCGTCACTACAGACCCGGGTTCGATCCCAGGCTGTGTCACAACCGGCCGTGACCGGGAGTCCCATAGGTCGGCGCACAATTGGCCTAGCGTCGTCCGGGTTAAGGGAGGGTTTGGCCGGGGGGGGGGCTTTACTTGGCTCATCGCGCTCTTGCGTCTCCTTGTGGCGGGCCGGGCACCTGCAGGCTGACTTCAGTCGTCAGTTGAACAGTGTTTCCTCCGACACATTGGTGCCGCTGGCTTCCGGGTTAAGCGGGCGGGTGTTAAGGAGTGCGGTTTGGCGGGTCATGTTTCGGAGGACGCATGACTCGACCTACGCCTCTCCCGAGCCTGTTGGGGAGTTGCAGCCTTGAGACAAGATTGTATTCGAAATTGGGAGAAAAAGGGGGTAAAACATATTGTAAAAAATTGTTTTCAAAACAATTATAATAGATGTAACCATTGGATGAAGGTACCCAAAACTTTTAGAATTTTTAAAATCCATCAGATATTTACTAAATTTTTGCACAAAAATAACTTTACTGGCATGGAAAAATAATTGAATGGAGTTCAAGGACCTTGGAGGGAATTCAGGTATTGAATTTATAGTAAAATGTCACTTTTATTTTCTTAGAATGCAGTCATATATACATTTTCTAATGTTATCAATCAAGTATTTTGTAAAATAATTGTTTTAAAATAAAGAAAATGATATGTGCACTTATCTATACATTGTTTGCAAGATCAGACATAATATCACTATTAATCTGAGTGTTCATTTTCGGAAGTTGCTTTCATTTGTAATCATTTCAACTGTATTAAACTATTACTTTTTTCAATTCCCCAAAAAATGAACACCCATCAAAATAAAGTTATCTTTCTTCTGTCAAGGCGTGTCAAGGCGATGTGTTAAATCCCAGACTAAGCTTTAGCGTTCTTATAGGTGCAACAGAAAGACAATGTATTCCATTGAGCCCAATTCAGCCATTACCGGAGTGTGTTTGACAGGTTATTTACAAAAAATTTTGTGGTTGTAATGTTAACGGGGAAAAAACAACAGGCACAATGAAGAGGATGAAAGAGTCGCATGAGCAAAATGAAAGCAATCAATCCAGTGAGCTTTAAGTGGATTTTGCACCCCTCAAACACAGGAAATAGATGGCTGAAAATGAGATCCTCATGTGGGCGGGGCATGAGTGTTGCTAATAATATATATCCATTTAGCAGAAGTAAGTGGCATATTATTATATCATTTATAGTTAGTTACCTTTAGCGTGACACAGATGACATTGAGGGCTTCTTTGATCTGAGGGTGCTGGGTGCCGTGGACCAACTCCTCACACAGCCAGATACCTAGACTGCACAGGGCCACACACCTGACGGGGCCAAACACAACATAACACAACTCCCGTTCATTTTCCAAATGACACACATTAGCCCATTATAAATAGCTTTAATATTTTGAGTCACATGTTAAAGTTGGTAACTAATAAACACATAAATACACGTACATAAATGCATAATCAACTGGCAATATCAATGTCAGCGTGACCTTGAATGAGACTAACAGGGACAATACACAAGGTAGACTAAAGTATAACCAAGGCCAGTTTCTATTAGTCACCACAGCCCATACAGTGACACCCTCCTCTCCATTCCCTCGCCTCATTATTATTACAATAATCTGCTGCTTGTCTTCCACAGGTCAGGGACAGGCAAAGACTGTGTCCTTAATGGTACCCTATTCTCTATATAGGGCTCTGGTCAGAAGTAGTGCACTATGTAGGGAATAGGTTACCATTTCGTGGTTGTGGTTGGTTGGTGGGGATGGGTGGTTGGTGGGGGTAGTTGGTTGGGTTGGTGGGGGCAGTTGGTTGGTTGGTTGGTGGGGGCAGTTGGTTGGTTGGTTGGTGGGGGCAGTTGGTTGGTTGGTTGGTTGGTTGGTGGGGGCAGTTGGTTGGTGGTTGGTGGGGGCAGTTGGTTGGTTTTGGTGGGGGGCAGTGGTTGGTTGGTTGTGTGGGGGCGTTGGTTGGTTGGTGGAGGTAGTTGGTTGGTGGTTGGTTTGGTTGGGGGCAGTTGGTTGGGGTTGGTTGGTGGGGGCAGTGGTTGTTTGGTTGTGGGGGCAGTTGGTTGGTTTGGTTGGTGTGGTTGGTTTGGTTGTTGGTGGTGGTATTTGGTGTGGGGAGTTGTTGGTTGTTGTGTTGTGTGTGGGTATTGGTTTGTTGGTTGGTTTGGTGGGGTAGTTTGGTTGTTGGTTGTGGTGGGTTGGTTGTTGGTTGGTTGGTTGGTTGGTGGGGTAGTTTGGTTGGTTGTGTTGGTGTGGTTGGTGGTTGGTGGGGGTAGTGTTGGTTGTGTTGGTTTGTGGTTGGTTGGTGTTGGGTAGTTGGTTGGTTGGTTGTGTGGGGTGTTGTTGGTTGGTTGTTGGTGGTTGGTGTGGGTGTTGGTTGGTTGGTGTGTTGGTTGGTTGGGGGGGGGGGGTGGTTGGTTGGTTGGTGGGTGGTTGGTTGGTTGGTGGGGGTGGTTGGTTGGTCTTCATACCTTGCTGGGGCTGAAGGCTCATCTATGGCTGAACTCAGGATGTGTTTGATGATGTGTTCCTGAAACGAATGACAGGGTCTATCAATAAATGATCAATCAATCAATAATTAACTGATTGAGAGATTAATGCACCCATCAGCCTGTTTCATTATCCATTGAACAACAGATCTCCTGCTAAATCACACATGCACGCACGCGCACACACACACACACACACACAAAACAGACTCCCTACTGGCTGAATTAACCAGCGCTTTGTCATTCACAGCCAGACCCAGGCTATCAGATGCCATCGTGTGAAATTCTCTGTCCAAATATGAAACACTCTCATGCATGAAATGAGGTCTTTAACCAGCAATCAACAACAACATGCGGCACAATAACAACAAGGTCCTGTGAATGGGCGCCTGTGACATAGCTAATCACCCACTAGAGAGTTAGCTGCTGCTCCCTCAGTACCACAGGCGGAAGAAATAAAAAGGTCATTGGATTTAATGTGGGTTTGATACAACATAGGTGTAACAATAGGTGGCTTGGGTGGTCTAATGGTTACTAGTGGTCTAGTGGTTGGTGCCGCCACCTCCAGTACCTTAATACCGGTGTCATGTGGGTAATAATCTCAAAGCCCACTGCCATTTGACACACTGTGTCCCCCTCCTATCTTTCCAATATACCCCTCTCTCTGACCATCTGTTCAATAAAATCATACAAACTACCACGTCTTTAAAAAAGAATAAAACAATCATGATGCAATAGGAATAATCAATCCATTTTCAATAATCAACCGGGGACCGGTTCCTATAGGCTGAAGCAAGAGTAAAGCAGGTTGAAAATATAGAGTTAACCAACCACCCCACATGAGGACAGTTACCTTAACGTCTCTGAACTTGGTCATGACCACGTCAGCGGTGGTGGGGTGTAGGGCGGGCAGCTCCTCATATAGGTTAGGGAAACACACCAGAGAACCCAGCAGGATCTGAGCCTCCACCCGTGGGGCCTGATAGAGAGACATATGGGGGGGTGCATCCAGATCATTGAACTGTACTGGGGGTAGGTGTTGTGTGGTGCATCCAGAAGTGTGTGTACAGTATGGTGAAGCAAGTGTTCTGATTCAAAATGAGGGGAGATTTAAAACACATCAAAATGTAAAGTGAATCTGCACTTAAGAGAAGAAACTTAAGTCAGTCAGTCAGCCAGCCAGCCAATAAGTCAGTCAGTCCTAACAGACAGCTATTCCAGTGCATTACTATCATAATCAGAGAGAAGGTGAATTGCGGTGGTGTTGTTCTCACATTGAGGGAGGAGCAGGCCGTGACTCTGCTTGCTGCGATGATGAAATCCAGGATAAGCATGGTGGCTCCAGGCAGCCCGATGGAGAAGAACCGAGGAGAACAGTGCTTAATGATGGTGTTCACTATGTCCTGAGGAACACATATAGGGAACAGTATTTAACAGAGGGTAGTGATACCTGCAGCCAACACACTCTCTCAGTCTTCCTCTCCGTCTCGCTCTCTCAGATGCACACATGCGCACGCAAACACACACACACACCTGGTCGATGTGCATGAGGCCACAGTGCATGATGTTGTAGAAGTGTGTGAGGAAGTCTGAGTTGGGCGATACATCCTGCCTCCTCTTCATGATCTTACAGATGAGCTTGTAGGCGTGTAGCTTCCCCTGTTTGTACCTCTCTGCCAGCATGGTCGCCTGTACAGGGGACAAGCAGTCAGTGGCACAGTCACAGATACAGGAGTAGAAGTGTTATGTTATTCACTTCAGTATAATGTTAAAAAGAATGCTTGCCTGTATCTGTATATATGTTACCCTCGAAGTACCTGTCTTTTCCAGGACTAATGTAATGGAACAGTGAGGGGTAATACTTACTTTGAAGAGCCAGGGAGTGAGGATCCGGAGGGGAGGGATGAGGACAGGGGGAGGAGGAGATGACTGGTTGTCCAGAGAGATGCCCAGATTATCTCTGATCTGATGAGAGAGGGAGAAAGAAGGGAGAGAGAGAGAAATAGAGAGAAAGAAATAGGAGAGAGAAAGAAATAGGAGAGAGAAAGAAAGATGAGAGAGTGCGAGAAAGACAGAAAGAGTGAGTGAATGTCGTGAGTGGGTGTCTTACATACATTGATCCAGTAACTTCCATTCTTGTATTGAGTACACAGTCTGATTGATTCCCGTATGGTTCCTCACCTTGGCCAGGTTCTGCCACAGCTCACAGAGGTAGTCAAAGACCTGCGCGTGGATCTCTGGGTCCTTAATGGTGTTCACATCTCCGAGAATGCCTAGCATCCTCCGCCACATCACCGTGGCAACATCAGCGTGCCAACCGGTCAGGGAGCCACCGGCTATCACACTGCAGTCCTCTGTAGGAAACTCACTAGTTTCTGAGAGAGGGAGAAGAAGACCGACACGTTTGAGTACACTGTTAGTGTGTCTGCAAGGCTCAGTGTGTAGTGTGTTTGTGTTGTGTGATAGGTGAGGGGCCGTTTAAGTTTGGGTAGTGACTAGATAAGCGAGTTACTATGGAGAGCAGTGTGTGTGTGCGCGCTCACATCTGTGCGTGTGTATTACCCAGGTCATCAGGAGTGTGTAGTACAGAGTGATGTAGTTTCTCATCCAGCTGCAGGTCCTTGTGCTGCAGCCCGACATGTTCAGCGGTCAGGGTGGCTGGAGACGGGGTCTGGGAGCGGGAACCAGCCAGGGAATGCATCGGGGACGCACTCTCTGAACCTGGAGGGAGGAACACAGATATTCATGTAATGAATTAGGTAGACATTGAATAATAATAATTGATTGGATTTAATCCATATTTTATCATGGATTTCTATGCGTTTTTCCAGATGATCAAAGTTCTTTAAATGTAAGTGGGAAAGTCACTAAGATGTATAAAAGGATGAGTGATGTGGACATTGAAAGCCGATGTGTTCTGATTTGTGAATCTGCAGCTCTGACCTGTGATGGTGATGGTGTCTGCAGACAGGCCATGCTGGCTCAGACTGCTGGTCTCTGAGTCTATGTGCAGGGTGGTGAGGCTGGACAGCTCCTGTTCCTCTGCAGTCTGGGGCACTCCTCCAAGGCTAGCGTTATCCTGGTCTAACGACCCCGCACCACAAACATCCAGACCAGAGCTGAAATCTAACACAGCATAGTGCCACCCAGTGGTCAGAACGATGAGTACTCCTCCAGCATGTCAAGCACAATCTACAATCCACTCCACTACTATGTTACTTAGTTAACAGCACCAGGTTTTTTTATGCAGGCAACGCAAGCGTGAGCTAACTGATATAATCATGATTTATAACTTGTGTTATCCTCAAAAACATTTCAAACACGAGTCACTGATTTAACGAGATGTGACGTCAGCTGTGGTGACGTCACTTACTTTCAAACTTGCAGTTGGCGTACTGGAAGGCGTTGAAGGAGTCTGATTGGCTGTCGGAGCTGATGACGTCGCTGCTGCTGGCGCTGGCGGGGGAGGTCCACTCAGAGGGCACGCCGGGGTCGTCCACGGGCCGTGTGGCGTTCTGACGGTTCAGGAGCTCCGGCAGGTCTTTGGGGATCTCCACACTACCGGGGCTACTGCCACGCCTGGTCATGCCCTGCAGAGAGCGGTAGAGAGGGGAGAGAGAGTGAGAGGTATAAAGGAGAAGTTCGTACTCTGATGTTTGGACTAAACATTTAGGGAGCATGAGCTGAGAACATTCACTTATTCACTCAGCTCATAAATTGTGTGTGTGTGTGTGAGAAATGAAAAAGAAAGAAAGAAAATAGAAGGGTGACTTACAGAGGAGCCTCTCGCTCGCAGACGCTCTTGGATAAATTCGTCCATCAGGTCTCCAAAGTTTTGGTTGCCGTTATCACTGGACACAGCCCGCATCGTCTGACAAGGGTCCTCTTTGTTGGCTGTGTTCAGGCAGAGAGCAAAATACATACACTTCACCCCACTGTCAGTAGATACTGACACACACAGCACTGACACACACAACTACAAGCCTCTTCACATTCCTATCATACAGATCTCCTCAACACAATACAAGACCATTGGACTAAAATCTTGAATGCATGTCATTCCTATAGGCTGTGGAGAATGTTAAGTTCATAAATGTATGCCTGTGTAACAGTATCAGTCAATAAAGTAAGGTAACTGTGGTGTTGTATGTGCTGTTATATAGAGATTAAGAATGAAGGTAACTGCTGCACAATGCTCAACGGAACAACCTTAAAGAAAATCCAACCAACACAACTGAGTCCAACCAGTAAAGCGATGCAGGAGTTACTCACATGCATGCAGTCCGAGACAGAGACAGAGAGAGAGAGAGACCGAGAGAGAGAGCGAGAGAGAGAGAGAACCTTGTTTTGTCCAGGCCATGAGTACAGCACACCACAGAACAGAGATTAGTCTAGCTATGTAAACTGCACTGTGGTTAGGTGAGGGAGCGGCCAGTCGGTGAGTGTGTTAACTGGGTAGACGAGGGACACTGAAAGATGAGGCAGCATACATATGAAGGCCATGATACATGAATAAACAGCTATTATATTCACTTATATGTTGGGCTGGATTGTCAGAGAGAAGCAGAGGGCATAGAGTATGTCCCCATCCCGCCCACGTGACTCAACATTTCTCTGGTTAGTCTGAACTTTCAACTGTGTTTTAGTTCTAAACTAGTGAGCTGCCATTAAAAACGTGTGTTTCTACTGCCCTAAGAAGCCACTACTACATGTTCTGCTAACACAAAATTATGGCAAGCTGTGTCAACAGTCAATGTTAAAATACTATCTAGCTACTACAGTGAAATTTAGTGGAAGAAAAAAGAAAAGAGACATTGGACTTTGTGGTAGCGTTGTCATTGAGGTGACTCAAGAGGGTCCAGCTCAATGCGTGGTGCTGAAATCCTATTCTCCATCAGAACGTTTATACTGCCCCCAACTGTTTGGAGGTATATTGACATGTTGTTGTTAGAGCATCAGCGAAGACTTGAGGACACAGACACATTTCCCAGTTTCATGTATATATGGAAGCAAAGGACTTCAGAGGACATTATAATGCTACACTGTATGTATTCTGTGTGAATTTATCAAATGTAAATGAGTTAGATAGCTTGTTCTGCCTGTAGATTTGGCCTCAGTGTGTGCAGTGAATGTGTGGTCCTGTATGGTGTTGTGTTGCTCTGAAAGAGAAGGCTGAGGGGGAGGTGTGAGGCCGCATGCAGCATTCAGGGAATAAAGAGGAGGGGCAGCAGAGATTTAGTCCAAGAAGCTGTAGGACGAGGAGGAGGAGGGGAGAGCCGTCCCAGGAGGAGGGGAGGGGGGGCCTTCGGCCGGGCTTTGGTTCTTTTTTGGGATCGTGTCTGCTACTTTAAAACAGGAAAGACAAAAAAAATAGCTTCATTTCAATCCGCATTCAGCAAAAAATCAAACAGTTAATTAAAAAACTGAAAAAGATGGAGGAGATAGAACGGTGGTGCTTTGTGTTTTATTTTTATTTTGTAGTTTTGTTTTCCATGTTGTGGAAGTGCCTTGGAGCACAGCGACGCTCCTCAAGTCTCTCACCTGGTGCTTTCTTTCCAAAATAGCCCAATACATGAGTGTACAGGTCCCTCAGGGGCGCCTCTGTGGCCCCGCCGGGGGCTTTGCTGTGCTGCTGTGGGGACGCGGAGCCGGAGGCGTGGGCCTTGGGCTTGGAGAGAGCATGGACCACAGATTTATACACACCGCCCAACAGAGCCCCCTGCTGCTGCCGAGAAGGACTGATCCCTGACTCCACATCCTGGGACCTGGAACGGGTCCCGCGGAGCCGAAGGGAGGAGCGCCCCAGACGGACACGCCCTGGCCCTGTCACATGACCCCCCACTCCACTGGCCTCCCGCTCCGGCTGCTCCCTGCTTCTGCACGCCCCCTCCCCTCCTGACCTCACTTTGCCCTTTGATTCCCCCACCCCTGCCCCAGCCCCTCCAGACCCCACCCCTCCTACAGAGTGGCTACTGAAGTGGCTGAGGCGGCGCAACCTGGTCCTCCAGTGGGCCTCCTTGGAGTCTAGAGGGTTGTGGAACTGGACAGACTCTGTGGAGGGCCGGAAGCTGACGTGCACCCCTCCCCCGTCCCCATGGCGCTTTTTGGGCCTACCCCGGACCAGCCTGGGCTTGAGGGAGTGGTGGAGGTTGAGGGAGTGGGACTGCTGCTGGGGCTGAGGGGCCTGTTGGCCTGAACCTCCTGTCTCGTTATTATACTCACACTCTGTGGCATCTTGCCTGACCAACTGGGGCTCTTCCCTATTCTCTGTGCCCTGAGTAGTTACCTGCTGGTCTAGGCTAGAGCTCCCCCTGCTGGTCAGCTCCCAGTCATCACTCTGTTCCAAACACTCATAGATGCTCCTCTCAGCAGGCTGCTGCTCTGCCTCTGTACTGTCCTCTTCTGCTAAGTTTAAGCTGCTCTGCTGCCTTACCTGGACCTGTCTCCTGACCTGCTGTGACCCTGACTGTACCGCCACAGCGCTACCCTGCACAGCCTCACTAGGGCCGCCCCTCTCCCCCACTCCACCTCCCTCCTCCAGGGTTATGTGCATCAGGTACTCCCTGAGAGAGCTAAGTAGGTCCTCCTCCCCCTCAGTCTCCCCCTCATCCTCTCTCTCAGAGGACTGGGTGAGGGTGGAGGAGAAGGGGGCTCCACCACACGTCCAGTCAGGGGCAGGGGGGCGGGGGCCTATCATCTGCCACAGATGGTCATAGATGCTATCCCCCACCTCCAGAGAGGCCACCCTGCTACCTGGGGCTGTGGGGGGGTGCAAGGAGTGGCTCCGGGAGGAGCAAGGGGGGTGGTAGGCGTGGTGGCGGTGGGCAAAGACAGCGGTGGTGGTGGGGTGAGAGGGGGGACTGTCGGGGACAGGAAGTGCACCTTTGACCCTCTCAGCGATGAAGGGCTCCATGATGTCGGAAGCGCTGCTGCTGCGGGGGAGCGGGGGCCCCTGGGGTTCCAGGTCACTGGATGCTGAGAACACGTCCGAGGCTGGGTTATTCTCACTCTGGGAGCAGTGGCGGATCCTGGGGGCCCGAGAGGCCATGGCGATGGGGGGGTCCTCCGTATCTGGACAGAGAGGGGACACACAGGGCACAGCTCACTGGAGAGGGGTCCTACCAACTCTACGTACAGGAAAACACAGCGAAGGAAATGGATCAGTAACATTCACCACACCGTGGTCCAGCAATATGATCACATATAGTTGGCAGACTTGCGTTCATAACCATCTTCTGTGGGCATTGCATGTCTATAACTGCCTATACAGTGCATTTGGAAAGTATTCAGACCCCTCGACTTTTTCCACATTTTGTTTCGTTACAGCCTTATTCTAAACTTGATTAAATTGTTTTTTTCCTCATAAATCTACCCCATAAAGCGAAAACAGTTTTTTTTGAAATGTGACATTTATTAAAAATAAAAAACTGAAATATCACAGCCTTGAGTCTTCTTGGGTATGACGCTACAAGCTTGGCACACCTGTATTTGGGGAGTGTCTCCCATTATTCTCTGCAGATCCTCTCAAGCTCTGTCAGGTTGGATGGGGAGCATCGCTGCACAACTATTTTCAGGTCTCTCCAGAGATGTTCGATCGGGTTCAAGTCCTGGCTCTGGCTGGGCCACTAAAGAACATTCAGACACTTGTCCCGAAGCCACTCCTGCGTTGTCTTGATTGTGTGCTTAGGGTCGTTGTCCAGACGTGACACTTGGCATTCAGGCCAAAGAGTTCAATCTTGGTTTCATCAGACCAGAAAATCTTCTTTCTCATGGTCTGAGAGTCCTTTAGGTGCCTTTCGGCAAACTCCAAGCGGGCTGTCATGTGCCTTTTACTGAGGAGTGGCTTCCGTCTGGCCACTCTACCATAAAGGCCTGATTGGTGGAGTGCTGCAGAGATGGTTGACCTTCTGGAAGGCCATCTCCACAGAGGAACTCTGAAGCTCTGTCAGTGTGACCATCGGGTTCTTGGTCACCTCCCAGACCAAGGCCCTTCTACCCCGATTGCTCAGTTTGGCCGGGCGGCCAGCTCTAGGAAGAGTCTTGGTGGTTCCAAACTTCTTCCATTTAAGAATGATGGAGGCCACTGTGTTCTTGGGGACCTTCAATGCTGCAGAAATGTTTTGGTACCCTTCCACAGATCTGTGCCTCCACACAATTCTGTCTCAGAGCTCTACGGACAATTCCTTCGACCTCATGGCTTGGTTTTGGCTCTGACATGCACTGTCAACTGTGGGACCTTATATAGACAGGTGTGCGCCTTTCCAAATCATGTCCAATCAGTTGAATTTACCACAGGCGGACTCCAATCAAGTTGGAGAAACATCAAGGATGATCAATGGAAACAGGATGCACCGGAGCTAAATTTCAAGTCTCCTAGCAAAGGGTCTGAATGCTTATGTAAATAAGGAATTTCTGTTTTTTATTTTTAATAAATTTGCAAATATTCCTGCTTCGTCATTATGGGGTATTGTGTGTAGATTGATAAGGAAAAATCTATTTAATCCATTTTAGAATAAGGCTGTAACGTAACAAAATGTTGAAAAGGGGAAGGGGTCTGAATACTTTGTGAATCCACTGTACATCTGTGTAAAGGATTAAATGAGCAGGTGATTGAATTTAGTCGGCCCAATAGGCAAGTTTGTATTAATGGTTTACTCTAACACAATATCGCTGTACCCAAGAGCACCAACCAAGTCCATGCAATAACATGGCAGACAAAACATGGCAAAAACTGCATTCCTTTTCATGGTTAATAGAATCATATTTAAGTTGCATCCAATCATTTCCATATCATTAAAGCCAAAACAGCTGCAGCAGAGGAAACAGACAAATTAAAATACATCAATAAGAACAAATGAGAATTCATCCAAAAAATGGGTTGACAATAACTGTCATTTTTTAGCAGAAGCCATCAAAATCATAAATTGATAGGGTCTAGAGATGCACACCAAACCACATGCAGGGAAAACTGTTTGGATCTGAGAAGGATATTAAATAGTGATTCAGAAACAACAACAACAACACACCCCCAGAGTCTAGGCCTGAGAGAAATATTGATTTTATGAAAGAAGCAAACAAGAGCTCAAAAACACACCAAGACAAGCAGGCTGTGTGGAGTCACAAGCAAAGGCAAGCACACAAACAATATGCAAAGACAGACAAGAACATACAGATAGTGAGTGAAGAAGTGAAGTGGGTGGAGGGGGGATACAGGTAGATACACAGGGACAGCTAGAGATGGAGGCACAGGTACAGGCATAGAGTAGTGGGCTCTACCTGCCAGCTCGTCAGCTAGGGAAGTGAGGACAGAGTCAGACAGGAGAGGGTGGAGAGGATGGATCAGGACAGGGGCACTTTTAGCGCTGCGGATAAAGGCTTGGGACAGGAGGCTGTCACCCGTAGAGCAGCTACGCAGGGCTGAGGGACGGACGGACGCCACACAGAGAGGAGAGAGAAGGGAGGAGAAGAAGAAGGAGAGAAAGGAGGAAGGGGAGGTAAAAGAAGGAAGGGGGGAAGAAGAGGAGAGAGGGAAGAGAAAATAAAGAAGGGTAGGGGTCATGGAATAGAGACAGAGAGGAAATGGATAGAAAATAAGGAGTTTAGAAAGATGAGGAAGGTAAAAAGGGGAGAGAGAGGAGGAAGGTGAGAAAGTGAGAGGAGAAATTGAGGACAGTGAGCGCAAGGCAGAGAGCAGTGACCTTCAGAGAGAGGAGGACTAGGAAAAGGCAAAGCTGCTGTCTGTCTGTACCTCAGGAGCCAGGTCACAGAGCCCTCCATGTACCCACACAACCCACAAGCTCAGTTGAAACAGTCTTCACTGGAGGACTCCCACACGGTACTGATTTCCCATTTCAATTATTATGTATAAATGGCTAAAATAAGAATAACTTGCCTAGATACATTTGATGACAGTTAATAGCAGTATAGCAGCATTATAGCAGCATTGACCATTACACCAAAACCTTAGTCAAATGTGCCACGTACATAGATCTACTGAAACCATTACATACAGCATTTTAAATAATCCATGAAAATATATCTTAAAGAGGTTAAGACAATATGTAGACATGTAGTTTCCTCTGATAAATATGATGGCTGTGACACTAACCCACAGTCTTCTGGCGTATGATGTTCCTGGCCTTCTCCATGCCCGGGGAGCCAGCGGTGGTGGCACTGCGCTGCCTCATGGCTGCTGCCTGACCGCTCCCAGGCTGGTCCCTGCTCCAGCCCTTAGAGAACGAATGGTCCACAGCCATCTTCTGGCCCTCGTGAGCGCCCCCTAGCGACCAACACAGAGAGGCAAAGATAGGGTACAGGTTGGAACGTCTCTGTGGTGTTAAAAAATAGAACGGGAGGGAGGGAGAGGGAACGAGAGAGACAGGCCTAGACAGGCAGAGACAGGCGGAGAGAGCGCTGGAGAGAGTGATGGAGATAGTGATGGGTGATGGAGTGAGTGATGGAGAGAGTGATGGTGGAAGTGTGCAGGCACCTAGCACTGTTGTTTGGTTAGCATTGTTTCTGTAGCACACAAATTGCAGTTCCCAAAATAAATGGGTACTGGATTGAGAAGGTTTTTGGGAAAGCATTTCCTTCTACCAGAAGATGGTTCTTCATTGTTTGAAACCTGGCCGTTTTACTTCATATTCTTACCTTACTTGAAAGTAGCCTATAGCCAAAATCCCACGATAGAAACGTATATAGACTTAGTCATATGCTTTCTCCTGTTCTATTGACTTTCTATCAACTTTCTTTCATTGTCTAGCAGCCAAATGCATTATCGTAGTCATATTAGCAATCCATGATGCTTTTTGCATATTTAAATCCCCCCTTTCTAAATTTCTAACAGATATTTCCATCTCTGTCCATGAAACCGCTCGTATGTGCGGTGCACATTTTAGAACAGCGGTTTCCCGCCAATTTCATTTTGGAACATTCACGCAAAGGCCTACCGCCGTCGGTACACTGCTGCGCCTAAATGTGGAGAAATAATCGTTTATCAAAATTATAAGCTAAACATTCTGATCTGTTCCATCAGCCTTATTAATTGAATTGGCGTATTCCTCCACTACACTACTTTGTTACCAATCAGTGGGTATTAAGAAGTGAGTATACGCAATGCCCACGGAAATATAAGTGGGTATACGGCGTATACCTGCGTATACCCTCCAGTACACCACTGGGAGAGAGTGATGGAGAGAGGAAGCAGTGTGTGTCGTCAGATTGAGTAAATCAGTGAGAGTTGTACCTTTTCCCTTGTGTTTCTTCTGTTTCTGTTCGCTCAGCTTGTCCAGGGGCAGCTCGTTGAGGTCCAGACTGTACAGGTTATGGAAGAAAATAAAACATTTAAAAAGGGGCCAGCACTTACTTTGATTCCAATACAAATTGAACCTCTGTTTAATATTACCATAAAACTTCAATTAAAACGCAGTCTCAAATAGCCACCTGTCCCTTTTAATAGCCAGGCAATGGCACACATTTCAGAAAATAAATGCCTGTTTCAAATAAACGCTGGGTCTAAATGAATTGTTTACAAGGCTATCGTGAACAACCATTAATTGTTTACGAGGTTTAATGTTTGATTTGTTAATTAAATAAATAAACATTAAATAATTCAGCAATGACTTGAAAAAATGATGGCAATCATCCGTTTTTATCGCCAGTAAGAAACTGCTAGCCATTGGCTGCTAACAGCTGAGAACTGCTAGCTAACTGGCAAGCACAAAAACAATCAACAACTTCAAAAGTATAGACCCCCAGAAATCGTCTGATCGCCCTCTGTTGGTGAACGTAAGAACTGCCGAACATGCAGTCAAAGAGTTGAATAATTATTCTGTCAAGGATTATTTTCTGTAAGTTATTTTATATAATAGAGGCATACTAAGACAAAATAAACGTGACAGTGTGTAACAGATAACACATTAGTGCAGGAAATGAAGAAATTGATTAAAATGCTGGAAGTGAATGCTGGAATTAAACAATTAACTATGAAAATGAACCAAAGCTGTGTGCATTAAAGAAATGGACTCCTGGCTCAAATAGAAGCCGGTCTCTAATAAGCACCTATTGTGTTTAGTGATTTTATCAAATAACTGCCCGGGCTATTAATTGAAGTTTTCCTGTATTTTCTTTACAACATGTCTTAACAAAATGCTTGGGCTTGTGCCTTCCACAGTATGTGTGTTTAGCACATTCTCTCCTGTCGTTACCTGTACAGGTTGCGGGCCAGAACCTTGGTGAGCGTTTCCATGGTAAGGGACCACTCTGTGACCAACTCCTCCCAGCAGGTGAGCGAGGACAGCACGGCCAGCAGGTCGTCCCACAGCTCCCTGGAGATGTACACGTTCAGGTTCCCTTTGATCCACGCCACTATCAAGGTCTACCAGAGGAGGAGGAGAGTCAGAGACAGATAGAGTAGCATGACAAGTAGAAACTTCCCTTTGTTCGGTCTCATGCGGAGGAAGGTTACCATGGCTCTCTCAAAAGTCTTTGCTCGATTCCTTGTGTCCTCTTCTGTACTCTCCCAAACTTATTTTCAAAATGTCAGTGGGAAGCGAGGAGAGGATTCAAGGAGAGGACATGAGGAATCAAGAAAATACCATTAAGAAAGAGCCCTTGTGGTTAGTCACAGTATATGTCCCAAATGGCATCCTCTTCCCTATATAGCACAGTACTTTTGACACATGGGCCCTGATCCAAAGTAGTGCACCATATAGGGAACAGGGTGCCATTTGGGACACAACCACTGTATGTTGTGAGTGCTACGCTGGGTACCTGAAAGACGGCCCCGGCCAGCCTCCCAGAGAGGGTCATGATCTTCTTGCCGTGGGGCATGATGGAGGGAGGTCTCTTCATCACACACTCGGTCACCCTCAGCAGCACCAACAAGATCTGCTCCCTGCAGACGCACAGACAGACACTAGAAGAGTAGTGGTCACATAGGGATACCTCATGTTTCACAAAGAGTGGAAAGTCCCTACCCCTCCACCTTGGCCCTAACCCAGTGCTTCTCAATTATTTTCTGTTACGCCCCCCCTAGGAAGAAGTAAACATTTCGCACCCCCCAACTCTCCGCCGCGACTGTAAATAGTATAATTTGTCTATAAAATTGTTATAAGTACACCTCTGAATAACATTGTATCCTTATTAACATTAAAGAAAACAAAAAAAGAAAAAAGAAAAAAATATAGATCAACTTACAACAACCTTATTTAAACTGTAAACATTTTTTGACCATTTGATACTGAAAAATAAAATTAAATATAATCAATAAATAATAATAAATTCAAATTGATCAGCAACATTAACTCAGGAGCACAATATATGAAACACTTTGACCGATAAAACAAAAATGAATAAAACAATTTGTGCTGATTTTTTTTAATCAAAATGAGGAAGTCAGGATTAATGGCTACAATGAGCACATTTTGCAGTGCACAGCTTTTCAAAGCAGGGTTTGAAGCATGATACTGCAACTCTCAGCTCCTGCTCAATGTTTAGCTGGGACCTGTACTTGGTCTTCAGTGCAGCAACAGCAGAGAAGCCAGTCTCACAAAGATAAGATGTTGCAAAAGGAAGAAGAATGCCCATGGCCCTCTGCCCTAAGAGTGGATACTCCCTCTCTACACTCAGCCAGAATTCACTCAGTGTATGTGATGTGAACCTCAGTCTCAATGTGGAGTCAGACGTCATATCAATGAACTGGTCCTCCTCTGCAGAGCTGAAACCAGTTGGAGCTGGTGCATTGAAAGGATCTCTCACCCAGTCATATTGGGAACTGTTTTCAGGGAAGTACTGTTTAAAGAATCCCATCAGTGATGAAATATGCTCCTTAATATATGGAATCACTGAGGTGGCATCATAGTCAGTAGTGTCAACAAATTCATGCAGGTTCTCGAATGAATCAGTATTTCCTTCATCAAGTCGCCTGCCTCACATTGCAAGCTTTCGAGTGAAAGAGCTGATCTTGTCTGTGACCTGAGGGAGGTGTTTATCTTTCCCTTGAAGCTGTAGATTTAGTTCATTTAGCTTTCCAAATATGTCACTCAGGTAGGCCAGTTTTGCCAGGAAGTTCTCATCACAAAAATTTTCTGCGAGGTCATACTTGTGCTCCTGCTCCGAAAACATTCTTATCTGCTCTCTGAGCTCAAAAACTGTGGACAAGACTTTTCCTTGTGACAGCCACCTTGCTTCACTGTGAAACAGCACAGCTTGATGTTCAGCTCCCATCTCCTCACAGATAGCAGAGAAGACTCTTGTTTTTAGTGGTCTGGTCTTTATAAAATTGACTACACCTACAATGTCAGTCATAACCTCACTTAATTCAGAGGAAAGGTGCCTTGATGCCAGTGCTTCTCTGTGTATAACACAGTGTGTCCACTCAGCATTAGATGAGGCCTTCTTGATGAGTGCCCGAAGTCCTTTTCTCATCCCTGCCATGGTCTGTGCACCATCACTGCAAACACCAATGCAGTTCTCCCACTTTAGCCCATTCTCAGTCAGGAAGCAGTCCAGCATTTTGAATAGCTCTTCAGCTATGGCTCTGTCTCTGACATATTTACAAAAAAGTAGATCCTCACACAGGGAGTTTGTCATGTCAAAACGTACATAAGCGATAAACAAACAGTCTTTGTTGCTGTCAGTTGCTTCATCGAACTGTAAGGCAAAACATTTGTCTTTGAGTTTATCTACCAGCTGTTCTTTAAGATCGTTAGCAATGTCATTTATACGTCTGGCGACAGTGTACAAAAAAATGCATGTTCCCCGGGGTCACACGCGCCCCCCCTGGCATCGCTCCGAGCCCCACCAGGGGGGCGCGCCCCACTATTTGAGAAGGACTGCCCTAACCTAACATAGCAGGCGTAAAAGAAACGCCTGAGCGGTGTCCCTGAATCCAGTTTTCAGGGGAAAAGGAAGCTAGTTTGAAGATACTGTATCCCTGAAAATTGGATGTTTACGGTTTATTCCAACCCTGCTGAGGAGGCCTTTCTGCAGGTGTAAAGCAAAAGTGTAAGCTCCCCCACTACACTGCTTATACACAATAAATACACAAGTATGTGGACACCATAAAATTAGTGGATTCGGCTCTTTCAGCCACACCCGTTGCTGACAGGTGTATAAAATCGCGCACACAGCCATGCAATCTCCATAGACACACTTTGGCAGTAGAATGGCCTTACTGAAGAGCTCATTGACTTTCATTGTGGCACCATCATAGGATGCCACCTTTCCAACAAGTCAGTTTGTCGAATTTCTGCCCTGCTAGAGCTGCCCCGGTCAACTGTAAGTGCTGTTATTGTGAACTGGAAACGTCTAGGAGCAACAACGGCTCAGCCGCGAAGTGGTAGGCCACACAAGCTCACAGAATGGGACCGCCGAGTGCTGAAGCGCGTAAAAATAGCCTGTCCTCGGTTGCAACACTCAGTACCGAGTTCCAAACTGCCTCTGGAAGCAACATTACCACAATAACTGTTTGTCGGAGCTTTATGAAATGGGTTTCCATGGCCGAGAAGCCACACACAAGCCTAAGATCACTATGCGCAATGCCAAGCATCGGCTGGAGTGGTGTAAAGCTCGCCGCCATTGGACTCTGGAGAGGTGGAAACGCGTTCTCTGGAGTAATTAATCACACTTCACCATCTGGCAGTCCGACGGACAAATCTGGGTTTGGCGGATGCCAGGAGAACGCTACCTGCCCGAAAGCATAGTGCCAACTGTAAAGTTTGGTGGAGGAGGAATAATGGTCTAGGGCTGTTTTTCATGGTTCGGGCTAGGCTCCTTAGTTCCAGTGAAGGGAAATCTTAGCGCTACAGCATACAATGATATTCTAGACAATTCTGTGCTCCCAACTTTGTGGCAACAGTTTGGGGAAGGCCCTTTCCTGTTTCAGCATGACAATGCCCCCGTGCACAAAGTGAGGTCCATACAGAAATGGTTTGTCGAGATCGGTGTGGAAGAAATTGACTGGCCTGCACAGAGCCCTGACCTCAACCCCATCGAACACCTTTGGGATAAATTGGAACACCGACTGCGAGCCAGGCCTAATCGCCCAACATCAGTAACCGACCTCATGAATGCTCTTGTGGCTGAATGGAAGCAAGTCCCCGCAGCAATGTTCCAACATCTAGTGGAAAACCTTCCCAGAGGAGTGGAGGCTGTTATAGCAGCAAAGCGGGACCAACTCCATATTAACGCCCATGATTTTGGAATGAGATGTTCAACGAGCAGGTGTTCACATACTTTTGGTCATGTAGACCTAACCAGACCCTTCAGATCTGCGAACATTGAAGGGTTAGGGGTAATGGGAGTGGTAGGGGGCAAATTGGGTCTGGCCATAAATGTATGCTATGCTTCCCCATTAGAACAAATACGCTGCTCAGTGTTAGCAAGTAGTATTGTGGTGCTGTACCATGTCTTCTGGTCCATGGTTTCATGCATGACCAGGCTGCGGTAGATGTTGAGGACTCTCTTGCACATGTCAACATGTTCCTCCAGCAACATCTTGAGCTCGTTGGCCGGCTCCAGCAGAAAAACATTGGCCGAGTTGGTGACAAACACCTGGGGTGGAAGAGAGAGGGGGAGATGGCAGTGGTGAAGAACTAGACAGTATCGGATGGAAGTTAGTGATCATTCCAGAATTTATGTGGTTGCCTATTTAGCATAATGTGTGTGTGTGTGTGTGTGTATGTGTTGGCCAATAGAAAATACCTGTAGAGTGGGCTGAACACCGGCATGCACACTGTACTCCAGCAGCTCTTTCTCAGACACTTTATTCACCCCCTGAGGACACAGAAAGACATACACAACAAGTGTTAGACTGAGAGACCATGAAGACAGGCTCCATCATGTGTACCTACTTATCTTTGTTGAGGGTTGTGTTCATTAGATACCAAACGTAAGAAAACAGACTGAAACAAGGAGTGAATACCTGGAGTCATTTTCGTTTCCATTGCTAAATGTTTTCCTTAGTGGACCCTGGTGCTTCCATCCTCCCCCACCCAGAGCCCCAGCTCTCACCTCCTCCTCCTTCTCAGTGTCCTGCTGGGGTACAGGCTCTAGGTTGACCCCTCCAGCCATGGGAAAGAACCTCTCTTCCTCCGGCACCCTCATAAACACAGGCTTGTCCTCCTGGGCGAACCATTCCTGGTACACCCGCACCACCTTCCTCATGGCTGCAGCCTCACACATCGGCAACAGGAAGGCCTGAGAAGAGAGGACAATACATCAATGCTATCTTCTTTGCTCTCTGTGGAGCATACAGCCACACAATACCATACTTTTACAGGGGTATTTAGAACATAGTAGTAATAGAACTTTATTGATCCAAAAGGGAAACCAGCAATACACAATGTACTGTGCGTGTGAGTAAGTGTGCTGTACCTGTCGGAAGATCTCGGTGATGAAGTTGACGTTGGTCCTGGAGGAACAGAGGACTCGTCTCACCACCTCCATGTCAGTGAGGTGCTCCTCGTCCATACTACACAGGCTGGAGGAGCTGGGCTCCCTCTCCGTCAGGGTGGAGGTGTTGGAGTGGGACTGCTCCTGCTCACACCCCATCCCTCTGTCCAGGCTGTCTGCACTGGGGCCCAGGTCCTCCCCCAGGCCATGTCCCCGCGCTGCCAGCCCTGCTGCTGCCCTCTGGAACACAACCAGAGAAACACAACCACCATTATAGCTTCCATAAGGCCTGGAAATGTATGTAACACAATGCATGAGTTGGAGGTTCACTAGTATATCCCACAGAGAAGTCTGAAGTTTACATACACTTAGGTTGGAGCCATTAAAACTCGTTTTTCAATCACTCCACAACATTTCTTGTTAACCAACTAGTTTTGGCAAGTCGGTTAGGACATCTACCTTGTGCATGACAAGTAATTTTTCAAACAATTGTTTACAGACATATTATTTCACTGTATCACAATTCTAGTGGGTCAGAAGTTGACTGTGCCTTTAAACAGCTTGGAAAATGCCACTGCTCCAAAACCGCCATAAAAAAGCCAGACTACGGTTTGCAACTGCACATGGGGACAAAGATCTTACTTTTTGGAGAAATGTCCTCTGGTCTGATGAAACAAAAATAGAACTGTTTGGTCATAATGACCATCGTTATGTTTGGAGGAAAAAGGGGGTGCTTGCAAGCCAAAGAACACCATCCCAACCGTGAAGCACGGGGGTGGCAGCATCATGCTGTGGGGGTGCTTTGCTGCAGGAGGGACTGGTGCACTTCACAAAATAGATGGCATCATGAGGAAGGACAATTATGTGGATATATTGAAGCAACATCTCAAGACATCAGTCAGGAAGTTAAAGCTTGGTCGCAAATGGGTCTTCCAAATGAACAATGACCCCTTGCGTACTTCCAAAGTTGTGGCAAAATGGCCTAAGGACAACAAAGTCAAGGTGTTGGAGTGGCCACCACAAAGCCCTGACCTCAATCCTATAGAACATTTGTGGGGAGAACTGAAAAAGCGTGTGCGAGCAAGGAGGCCTACAAACCTGACTCAGTTACACCAGCTCTGTCAGTAAGAATGGGCCAAAATTCACCCAACTTATTGTGGGAAGCTTGTGGAAGGCTACCCGAAACGTTTGACCCAAGTTAAACAATTTAAAGGCAATGCTACCAAATACTAATTGAGTGTATGTAAACTTCTGACCCACTGGGAATGTGATGAAAGAAATAAAAGCTGAAATAAATCACTCTCTACTATTATTCTGACATTTCACATTCTTAAAATAAAGTGGTGATCCTAACTGACCTAAAACAGGGAATTTTTACTAGGATTAAATGTCAGGAATTGTGAAAAACTGAGATTAAATGTATTTGGCTACGGTGTATATAAACTTCCGACTTCAACTGTATCACAACTCAAAAGCTGTCCCAGAGGCAGTGTTTAATGTAAAGATATAGTTATGCTAACCCTGCATACCTCTGCCTGCATGGCCAACCTGGATGTTTTTTGGCACGCTCTCTATATGATTCCTAGATATAATATATACGTTGTGCTAACCCTGGCAAACTTTCCCTTCAGGTGTGTATACGGTGATTACCTGGATGTTCTTTGGAACAATCTCCCTCTCTCCGTCCACCCCGGGGATGTGTGTTCCAGTGTTGGAGCGTGGCTCCAGCCAGAAGGACACCAGCCAGCGGATGAAGATAACGCGGGCGTTGAGGAGGCTCTCCTTGGTACAGTACACTGCCTCGTTGGTCTCGGGGTCTCTCTTCACCACACTGTAGTAAGGCTTTGGTCTCATCGAAGGAACCTCTGGAGGGGGGACAGACGGAGAGAGGTTGAATAGAGAATGCAGATGTATCGCTATTCCCCTTTTCACACCATTGTGTTGACCCAACCCGTACTGTGCTGGCTTTGATGTTTCCTTTCCAGCGTGGTTCAAGTATATGGTTGATGTATAACCAGGCCAGCTCGGCTCAGTAGTATCAAAGGGTATCAATGTACTTCTATGCACACTGCACCACTATAGTAAAATGCAAAGCTAAGAATCAGCTTTACAATGTATCTAAACAAATAACTATCTGTTTCTTTAGCTCATACTGATTCAAATTAGTCTCCTCACCCAGTAAGGGATGGTACAAACTGGTCTCCTTGGAGAAGTTGGGGAATATGTGTGGCAGGTAATACTTCTTGAAGTTTCCAAACAGGAATGCAAAGCCCTTCTCGTGGTTGTCTTTACACTTCCACTCCAGACTTTTGGCCTGCAGGGGGAAAGACAACAACAAGAGACCAATGTTAACAAAGAGCATTACAGAAACAGGACCAGAGACAGGACCAGAGACAGGGAGGGAGAGAGCAGCGCAGCTGTTAACTCAGTGTGTGTGTGTGTGTGTGTGTGTGTGTGTGTGTGTGTGTGTGTGTGTGTGTGTGTGAGCATACAGTACACTGCAGCAAAAGCATGCAGATGCAACTCAGCGTTAATAATGTGTATGAGCTAAACATATGAGCTATGTTGTTGATCCCGTTACAGTTTGAACTGAAGTACTGCTTGTGTCCATTTTGGGTGATTTAACATTCAGGGGATTACGGTCATTTGCACTTGCCAATCTCAGCATGCAGACAGACAGATGCCCATCTCAAAAGGCTCGCTGGTAGGTAGTAGGTAATATTGCATCCATGCATGTTTACAGTGTTAGTAATTAAGGGAAGAGTACCTGGTTTACCATGTATTTCAGAAGAGCCTCCAGAAAGTATCCTGTGAGGTCTTCCTGGGCTTTATCCCCTGACTGAGGAGGGACCAGGGGACTGATCTCTTCTGGAGTCACTTGAGCTGAAGGAATGGAAGAAGAAGCTAAATAAATAAACGAGGAGATAAAAAGAATGAAAAGCACAAGAATCAGCCCCATGGGAACATCAGCCCCATGGGAACATCAGCCCCATGGGAACATCAGCCCCATGGGCTTGAATGATAATTAGGTTTGACATTGGCCATATGAGTTTGAATCTGAGATATGTTTACGCTGCATAACAGTCAACCTCAAGATATTTCCTAATAACTACAGTCACTAGCAAGGTGATGGGTGTAGAGATACTAACTCTCCTGGAGGCTGTGAGGGGGGTTGACCAGGTTGGCCAGGGTTCGAGGGCCCAGCTCTGACTGGGGAGATGGGAAGCCAGGGATCAGGCAGGCAAAGATCCATAGCTGCTCTCTCAGTGCGTTGCCCTGCAAGGCCTGCATCCATAGCAGGAACAGACGCACACCCTCCCTTCGGATCTACAGAGGTTGAGAGACACAGTCAGGAACATACTAATAGAAATATAATCTAGCCTTTCTATTTCTAGGAGCATACTATTACCAAATACCCATAGCAGTCAACACCATTGCGAAAGAGGAAGATAACAGCAAAAACAGAAGTACTACATGTAGAGAGGCAGGTTGGCTACTGGAGATGCTACTGACGAATGAAGGACCACTCTGATGTACCTTTAAAGAGTTCCCAGTGTGCAACAGCTTCTTCAGAATGAGGCCTGTGAGGAGACAACAAAACACATTACACAGAATATCAACAACCAGCCAGCCACTACCCCAGCCCTTACCATATCCACCCAGCCCCAGAACAGCCCCGCCCCCAATACTACAGCACATGTCAGAGTTCTCGGTCAGACCTGGTAGACCCTCATCCCCAGGTCCTTGGCATTCTCTGGCTTTCTCTGGGTGGCCTTTGAATCCAACTGCACAGTGGTCTCAGTGCAGTGGAAAAGGAGAGACCACCTAGTGGAGGGGTGAGGAGAGGGCAGTGCAGTGCAGGGTACTACTCTCATTCACTCTCACTCCAAATGCATGTTACAAATCATGTAGCTACAGTCAGTACTAATACAGACATTGGTAAGGGAGGAGTGTGTGGGCCACAACATTTCACTTAGGGCCCCCAAAACGCTAGGGTCGGCTCTGACTGCATGTGTGGATATGTATGTGGGTACACAGACCCGCGAGCCACTGCAGCCCCTCATGATGAGTTCACCCCCATTAAAGTTTTTCTCATCCCTGATCTAGAGCAAAAAACCCACTTTCCCAAAACACGTGCAGACTCATCCAATAAAGACGTCCACACTCAATCAATGGCAGCACAACATGTACAAGGGCCTAGTACAAATGTACCTATGCTGTGGAACTGCCATCGTCCTTGTATTCGCTCTGGTAGGAGTTGCAGAATTTTCTGTTAACAGAACATAGAATACAACAGTCAGGAATGGTATGAAGGCTAGTGTCAGTTTTACTACCGCGTTGAAACAAATTAATCCATCTTCATTGGAGAATATAATGGCAATTGTCCAAAGAACATCAGTTGCCTCGCCTCTCTGTTGTGGATGAGGTAATTCAGCCAAGCGGTAGACATCTCTGACTCAATATGAAGAAGACCATGAGGCAACCTGGGAGAGGTGAGGTGAAGACACCTTTCCAGGGAAATCTTTGAAAGGGAGACTAGGGAGACTAGTTTGGCTAATCTCACACATTTCAACACCTGCAACTACTTAATCACAGTCACCTAGTCTGACACTCTCATGGAGAGGAAAGGCAGTTCTCTCAGGGAAACTTTTAAAATATCACTGGCCTTAGATGTGAGATCAACTGCAGCAGGAAGACTAGGCCCTACCTGTAAGGAGACTATGAAGATGTAATGCCACATTACTCATTCACACTGATAAAAAGGCCACTAGCTGTTTGGTAAACAGACACCCATTTTGTTTAGACCAAAAATCTGCCTCTCAGCTCACTGGGTCTATAAATATCACACAAGACAAGACAATGCCTACAGTGTGTGTGTGTGTGATCATTTTGAATCTTGAAATCTAAATGGAACATCTTGCTATGGCCTTCAGGCCTCACTGAGCTTGGCCTCCAGTCCATTCTAATAATATCCTGTGGGTGGTCACCAGGCACACGCCTGTATGTGTGTGTGTGTGTGTGTGCGTGTGGACTTTCCATGACCCCACACTCAAGGTCTGGGGGATATTTCACACATGGGGATTGAGGAGTTATCAAGCCAACTTTAGAAAACACTTAGAAAGAAGCACTCTAATTTCTGATTTACAGTAGCCTACACATTAACCTGCTTGGGGGGGAATGTTAGGCCAACTCTCCGTTACACCTACTCCATTCTGCTTTCTATGCATTCTGTATATTGTTGACCAATCAAGTCTGAATCCATCCCTCTCAAAATAATTGTGACACTCATTTAAAACAACCCCTCAATATTGCAGAAGTAACTGTCTTACCTCGAATATGAAAAGAATGGAGTCAAGTTCTTCCCTTTGTGATTTGTGACCTGCAAAAGAGAAGTGAATGTGAGGAAGTGTCCGAAACAATACCTGTGACACCATGACTAGCGACTGTAAAACATCCAGTAATAATAATGTGAATATAACATTCAGGCCAACAAACCAGACTATTCTCGAACTTGTATTCTCACCTTTTTGTTTGAGACTGACTTCAATGATGACTAAGTTCTCAAAGAACACATAGTAGATGTGAGAGTAGTACTGGTCAAAGAAATGCTTCAGGTCCCCCGACTCTGCATTTTCTGCAGAGCGAGAGAGACAGAATGAGAGAGAGAAAGAGAGAAAGAAAGAAAGAAAGAGCGAAAGAAAGAAAGAAAGAGCGAAAGAAAGAAAGAGCGAAAGAAAGAAAGAAAGAGCGAAAGAAAGAAAGAGCGAAAGAAAGAAAGAAAGAAAGAAAGAAAGAGAGCGAAAGAAAGAAGGAAAGAGCGAAAGAAAGAAAGAAAGAGAGAGCGAAAGAAAGAGAGAGCGAAAGAAAGAAAGAACGAACGAAAGAAAGAGAAAGAGAGAGATAGAGGAGAGAAAGAGAGAGGAGAGAAAGAGAGAGGAGAGGGAGAGAGAAATAGGGGAGAGGAGAAAGATGTACTGTTAATCACACAGCAATGCAAACTTTGTACAGCCATTGAAGAGGAGTGTGACAACATTCCACAGGCCACAATCAACAGCCTGATCAACTCTATGCGAAGGAGATGTGTTGCGCTGCATGAGGCAAATGTTTGTCACACCAGATACTGAGTGGTTTTCTGATCCACGCCCCTACTTTTTATTTTTTTAAGGTATCTGTGACCAATAGATGCATATCTGTATTCCCAGTCATGTGAAATCCATAGATTAGGGCCTAATGAATGTATTTCAATTGACGGATTTCCTTATATGAACTGCAACACAGTCAAATCTTTAAAACTGTAAAATTCTCTCTCCTCCCCATGGTAAAATGTGTCAAATTGCAGGAAATTGTTTTATGATGGTCATACCAAGGATCATGTAGACATTTTATTTTGAATTTTAGGACACCTTTAAGTATAAAAAAATATATATCTAATTTTTTTGGGGATGAAACATTGAATTTGGTCTTATTGCTATTAGCACATAGAAACGCATTGAATAACAGATTCATACAAGGAAAAACAGTCAAAAAATACATCAAAAGGAAGTTTGTTTTGAAGTGTCTGTCCGATATCTGAGAGATATAAGAAAGATCAGGAAATTATTTATATACTTTTTGACCATATTTAACCCCTTTTTTTGCCACTAAACTACTTCCACCTTTTTTTTTTTTACTGGTACCGGGCTACCTTCAGACGAGTCTTGTGAGGCTTGTGGGCGTCCTAGAGCAAAACCGACATGTACGTGTTCGTGAGAATCTCACCTTTCCATAGAGGGGTCATAATTGTTTGCCGAACGGTTCGGACACTACAGACGTTTTCACGAGAAGACCGGTTTTCGGGATGTCTCCTGGTCTGACAAACACAGCTGTAGCTCTGCCACCTGTGGAAGGCCGACATCGGCGGATGCGGTGGATTGATATGCAGCCCATGCTAAAAACCGATATCACTAGCTTAATTGGTCTACAGACAATACGCAAACAGGGCCGACAGAGCGTAGCGCAGTGTTGCAATGTCGTTTTTCATCACAAAAGTGTAATCCGCCCAGTCATTCGACCTGTAAATTGAGACCCGACATGTCATTCCTTGCGAAGACTGAGGGGCAGTATTGAGTGATTTTTTTGCAAGCTTCCTTTTTTCTGCTTTTATTTCGAGAGTGGTGTTTTGGACAGCTCAGAGACAGAGCAGAGCCCTGAGGGCCCATCTACAGGTGGTTCATAGCCCCTTGATTCATCATCTCCCCGGCCTGGTTCATCACCTCCCGTGCCCCTTTCCCCAACGCCCCTTCTCACCAAAACCCAATGTACCGACCAGGCGCACCGTTGCCCTCTGCCCTGCAACTCCATCAACCTGCGCCCCATCTCCCCGACCCAGGTCCAATGGCCGGAAGAGGAAGACAGCTGAGGATCCTTTGGACACTGACATTATGCAGCAGATTGATGACTTAAAGAAACAGAGTTACAGAAACGGAAGCAAAGGCCGTCTATGACGTCACGGTACAATGGATGGTGTCTATTCCTGCTGATCAATGTCTCCCATTTCTCAGGGACATGATGATGTACTTTCACTGGACCATGGATCAGTACTGTGTCCGCTCTGTCCACTCTCGAGGGAGACAGAGTCTCACCCCAGAAACTGGTGTTGTGTGCTTTTCTTTTGTTATTCACTGTGTTTTTTATATATTGACTTATTTCCTCATTCACATGTTACTGGCATTTACTTTGTGTCTTTTCTCTTATTTCCCCTTTCATCACACTTTCACCTGTGTATTACATTGTTTTACATATCACTATTTTCCTCGTGATAGTAAATAAACATCTAAAAAGGTACGCAAATGTATTAGCCTGGTTATTTGTACTTGTGGCAGAAAATATTACTGTTTTCAATCAGTCACTCAGTAAACGTGTACTGCTTTGCACATGAGCTATGTAGATGATGTTAATGTCTTGGGGGTCTTTATTGTCTACAGCTGGACACTAACCCATGTACCATGGCAGGAAGGTCTCCATTGAAAGGCCACAACACATCACCATGCACAACCCTGTTATGTAGATGAGGTTAATGTCTCGAGGGTCTGTCCTTATTGTCTACAGCTGGACAGCCATTCTCACCCATGTACCATAAAAGGAAAGTATTTGATGAAAGGCCACTACACATGGCACAAGGTTAGGTAAATGTCTTGAGGGTCTAGCCTCCAAACAAATATGAAAAATTAAAACAAGGATGAAGTGACTGTCATTATGTTAGTCTTTATTGTGATTTGTAAAGCGTGAATAAGAAAGACAGCTAAATCCAAACAGCAAAACCAAGCGTGTAGGCCCACATGTCATAAACAGACATCGACCAGAAGAAGAGAACGTACATGCGTACATGTTTTCCAAAGCACACTCCAACGTTTACATGTTTCTTGGGTCCTGCAAGTCTCCACTCTCCTGGACGCAGGTCCTCAGTGGTTGTGGAGTGGTCAACAAACGTGGGGTGGATGTACCGTGTTGATGACTGTGTTGTCAATGACTAGTGTCTGTGGTGCAAAGCTAATTGTGGAGGGCCATGCAGGCCTTCACAATGGTCTCTGGGGCAAGCTCAAGGGCTCTTCCTAGGATCCTCCATCTTGCAGCAAGGATCCCAAAGCAGTTCTCTGAAATTCTTATGGCTCTTGAGTGGCGGTAGTTGTAGATCTTCTTGGTGTCATCTAAGGCCAGAAGAACTTTTGAATAAAATAAGCATTTCCATTAGTATTGAACAGGAACATGAAGGTTATGAAATGTTTACTGCTTTGGACCCTATTCTCTTACTAAGATGCCTGTTCACTTTTATGCATATCATTACAATGTCTATATTGGTATAATTTTCATATCATATGTATATAGTCACATGTATTTAGCGTATCTTACCTGGATATGGTCGTGTTAGGTTTACCCTCAGAGGGAATGCCTCGTATCCCATGAAGACATATGGGCTCGGTGTTTGGGTCCCCAGCAAGCACTCTGGCCTTGGTAGCGGCAGCTGGCCTGCAATGAGTTGGGAGCCGAACTTGCTTCGTTTAGAAGATTACCGCATCTCCCTCCTGACCATATGCGCCCACGTCGATCACGGTGAAGTGGTACCTTGCATCGCAGACTGCCGTCAGGACCATTTGAGAAAAAGCCCTTGTAGTTGTAGTACTAGCTGCCCGAGTTTGCCGGAGCTCGGATCCAATAATGTTTTCTGTCGACAGCTCCTGCACAAAACTGATATTTCAAACGATCCCCAAAATCTCTGGAGATTGCTGCCCATTTTGTAGCAATTGCAATTCAAAAAGAGACATGTTTGCTTCTGCTTCTGTGGCTAAAAAGTAGTGTTGTAAAGCACATAACACCAGACTAGGCTGGCATGTAGCTAGCTAGCTAGTATTTGTAAACAGGCATAATACCGGATCGGAAGTTCAAATGTTGTCACTATCTAGAGTCAAAAAGAGTGCCTCGGCCCCTTTTGCTTGGTAAGCTCGCACGGAGTGGAGGTTGTAGCCGCCTTTAAACTGATTTATATGGGGACTTTTTTTATCATTATGCTAATTAGATTTCCACAGGGGCACTGACATCAACTCTAGGGGATTAAAACAGCAACAACATAAAAAATCTTACGCTAACTTTGCTACCGCTGCTGGAAAAAATAGTTGAATTAGCCTTGAGGGTCTGCTGCCCAGAGCCTTACTAACTTCATTTACACACTAATCAGCCAGGGAGGGTCTTGTGAAGGACACCGCCAGGATAGTGTTGATAAGCCAGCCAGAGGGAAAACAGAACAGGAAAAGAGAGGCACATGGAAGCATGCATGTCCTCCTGTCTTGTCCAATCTCCCTGAAGCCTGGAGAATCTCAGGGAAGAGGCTTTTAAATCCCCTGTGACATCATTTAGGCTACCCCTGTAATCCTGAACAGAGCTAGAGAGGAGAGATGGAGAAGTCATGGGAGAGACAGGAAGAGAGGTTGTGTGATTCAGCAAAGTAAGATACTTCCAAAAGTTATTTTTTTTCTCGTCTGAATCACAAAAAAAATACTTGGCCTAAAGCAGCAACTCAGGAGGAACCATTTAAGAAAACTCTCTCTCACAGGTGCCACACACACACACACATAGGTGCCACACACAGACACACAGGTGCCACACACAGACACACAGGTGCCACACACAGACACACAGGTGCCACACACAGACACACAAGAACACACACAGACACACAGGTGCCACACACAGACACACATACTTCTCTGACCTCTCGGTGCTACGGAGCATATCTCAAATAACTGATGAAAGAGACTCAGTGAACTGCAGCCAAGAAACACAATTCTGAGACTGATTTTTCACTTTAAAATGTATGCCAAACAAAAAACAATGACTGCAAAGTTAAACAAACCCTACTACTCCATGCACAAGGACAACATTGAACAATTTCCACAGAAACTTTTACAAAAACACATTTATTTGAAGAACAGTGTAGATGCAAGGTTTGGTAACAGAACAACGGTTTGTGCTGTTTGTGCGTCATTCTGTTCCCAAACTTTGCATCTGCACTGTTCTTCAAGTGCAATCATTGTTTTTTGTTTTTTGTTTGACTTGCATTTTAAAGTGAACAACCTGAGTCTCAGCATCATTCTGTTACTGTGGAATTGCCCAGTACCATTACACAAAGCTCAAACACCTCTCCTTAACAACACTGTCCTCTCTATGACAGTCCATCTCCATCACTGCAACACCTCTCAGCTCAGCACGTGACATATCCAACCAAACCAACATGAAGAAAAAAAGAAATTGGGCCAAAGGTCCTAACTAATCCTAACAAATTTTGACATGGCTTGGCTGAAGAACTTCACTTGTCGACAGGTAATATTCCTATCTACCAAACTGTACACACAGATCCAAAGAATCCTAAAACAGAAAACCTCTTTCATAATCCAGCTTCCTCAGTTTGCCCAGTTGAGGGCCAGCCTAGCTTGGGGAATGGGGGCATGTTCTTGTTGACTTGCTCTGCTGAGATAGCAGCAAGCCAAACAGCAGTATTCCAGTTCCAAAATAGAACACTCGGAAGAGAAGAGTCTCTTTATCAGAAAGAGGTAGCATGCGTCTGAAATGGCACCCTATTCCCTATATACAGAGCTGTGAAAAAGTATTTGCCCCCTTTCTGATTTTCTCTATTTTTGCATATTTTTGATACTGAATGTTATCAGATCTTCAACCAAAACCTAATATTAGATCAAGGGAACCTGAGTTTACAAATAACAAAACAAATTGATACTTATTTTATTTATGTAATTGACAAAGTTATGCAACACCCAATTCCCCTGTGTGAAAAAGTAATTGCCCCCTTACACTCAATAACTGGTTGTGCCACCTTCAACTGCAATGACTGCAACCAAATGCTTCCTGTACTTGTTGATCAGTCTCTCACATCGCTGTGGAGGAATTTTGGCCCACTCTTGCATGCATAACTGCTTTAACTCAGCGACATTTGTGGGTTTAAAGCATGACCTGCTTGTTTCAAGTCCTGCCACAACATCTCAATGGGGATTAGGTCTGGACTTTGACTAGGCCATTTCAAAACTTCAAATGTTTTGCTTATTAACCATTTTCATGTAGACTTGATTGTGTGTTTTGGATCATTGTCTTGTTTCATGACCCAGCTGCGCTTCGGCTTCAGCTCACAGACAGATGGCCTGACGTTCTCCTGTAGAATTCTCTGATACAGAGCAGAATTCATGGTTCCTTCTATTAAGGCAAGTCGTCCAGGTCCTGAGGCAGCAAAGCATCCCCAAACCATCACACTACCACCACCATGCTGGACCATTGGTATAAGGTTCTTACTGTGGAATGCAGTGTTTGGTTTTCGCCAGACATAAAATGAGACCCATCTCGTCCAAAAAGTTTAGTCAAGTTTGCCAAAAAGCACCTGGAAGCACCTGGATGATCATCAAGACTCTTGGAATAATGTTCTATGGACAGATGAGTCAAAAGTATACCTTTTTGGACGACAAGGGTCCCATTATGCCTGGCGAAAACCAACATTTTAAAATGTGTATTTTTCCATATATAGACACACCCTGTGTTTTAATAAAATCAACTATATGTACTGAGCTTGTCTGACACTTTAAGCACGCTGTTTGATTAAATAATTAAGACACACAAATGACTCAAGAGGGAGCCAGAGATCAAGATAGCCTAACTAGAAGAAAGATACCTGTTCCCAACTCTCCTCCTCCCGCTGCTGCTGGCCTTCGCAGATCCTGCCGTTACACTCCTGAAGTTGCCGGTAATAGGCAACACCAGGCGTCGGCAACCTTTTCCATTTGGAGTGCCAATTTATCTTACCATTTCTACCGATCTGCGTATCAGTTATGATTTGCATATGCACATTTTTGTGGAACAGTTTAATTTAATTTATAATAGTCTTTG